ATATGTGTTATGGTTAATGGCTGCATAATGTCCATATAGTGCCATTGTGTTGGGAGTTTTAAATTGCTTCTATTTGCTGATGCAAATAATGCTGTTTTGATCTTTGTGCACACATCTTGGTTCCTGTCTTAGAATATTTTCTTGGGTTGGATTCCTAGAATGGTAACAACCAGGCCAAGGGGCATAAATATTAAAGATTCTAGATAGATTACAAAAGACTTCCAGTGAAGCTGCCCTGACAACCAGACAGGGCCTGCAGCTCTGCCTCTGTAGGCCTTACCAGGATAAACATTATCCCTTTTTTTTTTTTTCTCCAGTACTAGGGTTTGAACTCAGACCTCTGTAGTAGTGCTAGGATGCACTCTACCGCTTGAGCCATGTCCCCAGCCCCTATTACCCTTTATGCTGTTGTTGACTTTGTAGACGGGCAGCACCTCCTCATTTTGTTTCCAAATGCCTGGTCATTTGGGAGGGGGCTCCCAAATGAGCCTATGCCTCTTCCTGACTTCACCTCCTTGTACCTGAGCAGAGTGGGCATTCAGTGTCCACAACAGGGGTGAGATTTGGGCCTCATCATCCAGAGCAGAACAAAGCAGAACTCATGATTAGGAGATTGCTCAGATTTGTGAGTGGGAGTCTTGGGCCCTCGCATCAGCATTCATTCTACTCTGAGCTGGCTGGAGGGCCACTGTTTCCTCCCTGAGCTCCTAGTCTATAGTTGGGCCCCTGCTGTGCAGGGGTGCTGGGCTGTGCATGTTCAAGGTCACCTCCTCCAATGGCTTCAGCCACAGGTCTGGGCTTCACCTATGATTTTCTCCCCACTCTGCCAGCCCTTTTTTGTAATGGCTTTTTTTGAGATAGGGTCTCACAAACTGTTTGCCCAGGGGCTGGTTTTGAACCATGATCCTCCTGATCTCTGCCTCCTGAGTAGCTAGGATTACAGGTATGAGCCACTGCCGCCAGTTTACCTGTGATTTTGAAGTGATTTCAGACTTAATGTAAAGTTGCAAAAAATACCCCATACCCAAATTCCCCAAATACTAGTAGTAAAGCAAGTGCTTCATTATCCTCTTATTTTCCTCTGAACCATTTGAGTGTAAATTGCAGTTGAGATGCATTAAACCCCTAAATACTTCAGCATTTTCTCTCAAGAATGAGAGTATTCTCTCACATAACCACAATCCAGTGAGCAAGATCAGTAGGCGAACATCGACATAGGACTGTTATCTAGAGACCTCATTTGAACTTCATCAGTTGTCCTGAAATGCCCTCAATAGCAGCAGAAGTCCAGGGTCCGATTCAGCTCACACATGTATTTAGTTGTTGTCTGTTTGGCCTCCTTTGATCTGAAATCATTTTCAAGGCCCTACCTCTCACAACCTTTGACATGTGTGAAAGGTGGAAGCCAGTTATTTTGTGGGGTTTCCTTTAATTGGGGCGTGCCTCTTGTCTTTTGGTTAAATACAGGTTGTGCACCTGAGGCAGGAACCCACGGGAGCATTGCCTCCTTCTTGGTGGCTGACATAAGGAGGCATGCCATCTTGGTTTGGTATGAGTGTTGTCAACCTTATCCTTGCCAGTGAGGTGTCTGCTGGGTTTCTCCATGTTGTAATTACAGTGGTTCCTCATCCAGTTTCACTTTCCTCAGTTTTAATTACCCATGGGCAGTCATGGTCCAAAATTCCAGAAATAAACAAGTCCTAAGTTTTTGGTTATGTGCTGTTCTGGGTAGTGTCATGAAATCTTGCATCGCTCCACTTTCTCCCGCCTAAGACATGAATCACCCTTTGTCCAGTGTATCCACATTATATTCCTCCCCCCTTGTTGGTCCTTAGTAGTGGCTCAGGTGTCAGATGGACAGATGTGGGTTGGGGGTGCTTGTGTTTAGATAATCCTTATTTTATGTTAGTGGCCTCAAAACACAAGAGTAGTAATGCCTACAATTCAGATAAGCCAGAGAGAAGCCATAAAGTGCTTCCTTTAAGTGAGAAGGTGAAAGTTTGAGTTATTAAGGAAAGAAAAAAGACCTTACATAGAGAGAGACCTCATTCATGTAGAGTGTATTGTTCTGCTTTAGTATTACTCATTGCTGTTAACTTGTTACTGTGCCTAGTTTATAAATTTAACTTTAACATAGGTGTGTGTGTATAGGAAAAATCATACCTTGTTTGGGTTCAGTATTATCCATGGTTTTAGATATCTTCTGGGATTCTTGTGATATCCACACAGGAAAAGGGGACAACTATAATAAGAACAAGGTTTGGTATTATTGTCCTCTGTTTTAGAAAGATGAGGAGCCTGGGGACTGGCAAGGTAACCCTACCCATGTTTGTGTAACTGTCCCATGCTGCCTGAGGATTGCATGCAGGACTCCCCATGGCACCATCTTACTTTGCCTCTCAGAGCTCATTGCTGACCCCATCCTCCCGAGAGTGCCTGCTTCTGCCCGAGGACTGACCCTGTACTCCTGGCTCTCCTCTTTGCTCCCAGGCAGTCCTGTCTCCTTGGTGGCCTTTCCTCCTGGCCTATACTCTTCATGTTAGTGGGCCCAAGGGTGCAGGCCTGGCCCTTTTCCTCTCTAGAATGTTCCCTCTCTATCTTCACATACCGTCCATCCTCAACGGTGCTAGGTTTTCCTTCCTCATCTGTGAGATCTGTGAGTTGCATCATCTCCCAGCCCTATTTCTCTCCAGTCTTCCTGTGGTGGGAAGTGTCAGCATCAGCTGTAGCCACCTGTGCAGGTTTCTTACTTTCCTGTCATTAGACCTCTCAGTGAATCTTGCCTGTTGCACCCTGCACATTTGTCTGACCCCACCCGACCTCCATGACCTCCATCCTAGTCAGAGGCTCTGTGTCTCTCCCCTCAGCCTCTGCATAGTCAAATGGACACCATCTGTCAGTCCACACTGAGTCCAGTCCAGACAGACCTTTTCCAAGTCCCATCCCTGCAGTCCTGCCCACTGCCTGAGTGAGGCAGGGACCTCCTGGCCCTGTCTACTCCTGGCTCTCTACCTCCAGGCCCTCCATGTTTCTTCAATACACCTAGCTCATTCCCTTGTAGCCCTGGCAATTGCTGTCTTTGCCAATCTGTGTATGACTACTTCTTTATCCCCATTCAGGTCTCAGTTTCTGTGTCCCCTCCTCAGAGAGGTGTCTTTAATATCTAGCCCCAGCAACCACCTTCCCTCAGGTCATTCATAAAGTATTATCTGTTTCTTATGTTTGAGACACTTGTCATGATCAGAAATGATCTTTTCTCCTTTCTTTTCCTTTCATCTCCTTTTCTTTTCCTTTCTCCTTTTGATAAAGGCTCAGCCTCACAGGAGATCAGGCACTTTATTGTCTTAAGGCCACAAACTGTGCCTGGGGTAAGTGGGGCAGGTCTGGGGGCTGACCTGGCCTCCCTTGTCTATTAATCATCTTCTTCTTTTTCTCTTTCTGAGGTTTATTTCCTCATGTCTTATCTTTCCTTTCCACTACATATTCTTGGCATCTTGTGACACCAGGGTTTTTGCAATATTTTTTTTATTGACTGAAATTGTTTTATTGTTTTTTTTGTTTTTGTTTTTGGTTTTTTTTGGCAGCACAGGAGTTTGAACTCAAGGCCTCATACTTGCTAGGCAGGCACTCTTAACTACTTGAGCCACTCCAGGAGCCCTTACTGAGTTTGTTCTTATGCTCCTTAAAACAAAATGACAGAGTCATGCACTTTTTTTTTTAGCAGTACTATAATTTGAACTCAGTGCTTCATGCTTGCTAGGCAGGCACTCTACCACTTGAGTCACTCTGCCAGCCCTTAAATTTTTTTTATACTCCTGCCCCCACACACATGCATTTTAAGCTTTTACTAGAACTGAATCTCATGGTTAGATGGAGGCCCTGTGATAGGGTGGAGAGGCTGGATGCTAGTTCGGGCCCTGCTTTGAGCAGTGGTATTTTCAGATTTGCCTGGGCCTGGGTATCTTTCATTTATAAAATGAGTGGTCAGCTCTGAAGCTTCCACATTCTGGGATGTAAGTTGTCCTCAGTTGGTTTAAAAAATGTTTATTGTCATAGAATACACGACATGAAATTTACCATCTTAACCATTTTTAAGACCACCTTCTATCCACAGAGTGCTTTCATCATCTGAAACTCTGTCCCTACTGAACACTAACTTCTGGTCCCTGCCTCCCCATCCCTGAAACCCATTGATCTTTCAATGAGTTTCACCACTCTAGGGACCTCCTGTAAGTGGAATCCTATAGCATTTCTTTCTGTGGCCACCCATTTCACTTGCCCACAGCGATATTGTTAATAATTAATCTAGTAGCCCTCAATAGAAAGGAAGGTTCCTGCCACTATCTGAAAAAAACCTGTGTGTTAACTCTCTGAGGCTTCCTCCTGAGAGAGCAGGCTGGTGAGACTCCTGGCCTGGTCAGCAGGCCCTGAGAGGAGACCCAGGCTGGTGTTAGTAGGGAAGGCTCTTGTGCTAGTGTCTTCCTAGGCCAACATTGACAAGATGCTTACCTTCCTGTCAGTATGTCTTCCTCCTCCTCTTCTCTCTCTTTTCTTTTTCTTTTTTGTGGCACTGGGATTTGAACTCAGGACCTTGTGCTTGCTAGGCAGGTGCTTTTACCACTTGAGGCATGCCTCCAGTCCATTTTACTCCTTTCTCTTTCTAAGGCTTCTTTCCTCATGTCTTCTCTTTCCATTCTATCTTTATTTCCCCTGCTTTTCTATATTGTTGACTGTCATGTGATAGCCTCTTCACAGCCTTTAAACTTGTTTTATAAACTTGAAATGCAGTACTTTACCCACTGCAATGTGTACTAGAATGTTAGGGTGAGTTGGGGTTCTGCCAGGTTTGGCTTTGCTTCTTCTCTAGAGCTGGATCATAAATGGAGAAGAGAAATTCCATTGGTGTCCGTGTGACCTGCCTTGGGTTAAGGGCCCTCACTTTTTCAGGGGTGACTCCATGCCAAGGCTGCTCTAACCTGGGCTCTGTCTGCCCTCCACAGATGCTGAAGTTCCGAACAGTACGAGGGGGCCTGAGGCTCCTGGGTGTCCGCCGCAGCTCCACTGCCCCCGCTGCCTCCCCAAATGTCCGGCGCGTAGAATACAAGCCCATCAAGAAGGTTATGGTGGCCAACAGAGGTGAGTACCACCAGAGAAGAGTTGCTGAGGCCAGCCCAGCCAGCCTCAGCCTCATCCTCACCTCTGCCCCTGCTTACTCCCTTTCTGCTTTTCTCAGGACCCAGGAGTCTAATTTCTCATCCTGTTGCCCCCAGGCGAGATCGCCATCCGTGTATTCCGGGCTTGCACAGAGCTGGGCATCCGCACTGTGGCTGTGTACTCTGAGCAGGATACTGGTCAGATGCACCGGCAGAAAGCTGACGAAGCTTACCTCATTGGCCGTGGCCTCGCGCCTGTGCAGGCCTACCTGCACATCCCAGATATCATCAAGGTGGCCAAGGTGAGCCAGCCCGGGCTGGGACTGGGGAGCCTCAGGTGCCCAGGGTCTCCTGAGGTTGGAGCTGGGTCCCATGCTGTGCCTGGCACCCATGCCAGCCAGCAGTAAGTCAAGGGTGGAGGTGGAGCCAAATAGGGGTTAAGTTGGAGGAAGAGGAAGCCACGAGTGCCTTTAGGCCTGTAAGGAAACTGAGAGACAACCCATTCCCTGACCCCCTGCAGGAGAATGGCGTGGATGCAGTACACCCTGGCTATGGGTTCCTCTCTGAACGAGCGGACTTTGCCCAAGCCTGCCAGGATGCTGGGGTCCGGTTCATCGGGCCGAGCCCAGAGGTGGTCCGCAAGATGGGGGACAAGGTGGAGGCCCGGGCTATTGCCATTGCTGCAGGTGACATGTAACTCCTTACAAGGGGCTGGCAGGGAGGGATGTTTGTTTTCCTGATAAGCATGGCAAGAATCCAGTCTATTATAGAGACCCCTGAACCTGTCGCCAACAGGTGTCCCCGTGGTCCCAGGAACGGACGCACCCATCACTTCCCTGCATGAGGCCCATGAGTTCTCCAATACCTACGGCTTCCCCATCATCTTCAAGGCTGCCTACGGAGGCGGGGGCCGTGGCATGAGGGTTGTGCAGAGCTACGAGGTGAGTGACACCAAAGGCAGGGAACAGAGCAGGCAGCCCACTGGATGCAGGAGAGGCCCTCTGCAGGGCTCTGGGAAGTGGGTAGGGGTCTCGGCAGACAGTACACAACCAGGGCCCCACATCTTCCTGGCCTCACCCACCCTTCCAGGAGCTGGAAGAGAGTTACACGCGGGCCTACTCTGAGGCGCTGGCGGCCTTTGGGAATGGCGCACTGTTTGTGGAGAAGTTCATCGAGAAGCCACGCCATATTGAGGTGCAGATCTTGGGTGAGTGGGGAGTGCCCCAAAGCCTCCACTCAGGCAGCCTCACTAGGGCAACACAAGTGGGGAGCTGAGAACCCTGAATCTTTCCGGTTTATAGCTGTAGCCTTTGGAACAACTTCAGGCCTGGGGGTGCCCAAAGGGTTTGGGGCTGGGCAGCAGTCGGGTCTTGCCAGCCCCCTTCTGGCTCCCAGTGTCTGCCTGGCCACAGTGCCCAGGTAGGGACTGGAAGGCCATGTAGGAGGCATTTGAGTTCCCAGGAAAAGCTGAGGCTTGCTTCCTGTCTGCCCCAGGGGACCAGTACAGAAACATCCTGCACCTGTATGAGCGGGACTGCTCCATCCAGCGGCGGCACCAGAAGGTGGTAGAGATCGCCCCTGCTGCCCACCTGGACCCCCAGCTCCGTACACGGCTCACTAGTGACTCTGTCAAACTTGCTAAGCAGGTGAGGGCCATGCTTGCCAGAACAGGTGGGGACAGGAGCCTGTTCTTGCATGCTCATTTTGCACCTCTGTCCTGTGGGCCTCATGGCTCGGGTACTGGGGCCACTGTGACCAGCCGCTGGGGAACAAGGAGGCCCAGGGTGCCTGGTTCAGGGAGGGCAGGAGGTGGGGATAGGAGTTTCTAGGAGGCCGAAGAGTCAAAGCAGGATGCTTGCCATCCTCTGTGCTGGTAGCGGGGACTGCCCCAGCAGCCACCTAGAGTCCAAAAGGACTGAGAAGAGGAAGGGAGGGAGCCCCAGCCACCCCCTTTGCTTCCTGCTGTGCAGACCAGACATCTCTGTGACACCAGCTTGCCCTGGATTAAAGGGAATGAGACTCCTAGACTCTCTGAGAATTAAGACACATCCTTCTCACTGGCTGTCAACCATCCCTGCCAGTTTCTGCTCCCTTGGAGCATTGGTGGATGGGTCCTGGGTGTGGAGATAGTGGGAAAGGGAAGCTGTCTCCCTCAGCAATGACCTGCCCCATGTTTGGCCCTGAGCACCGCAGTTCCATGCAGGAGGACAGCAGGGTCCTGCCCTTGGATCTTCCTCTGCCCTGCCCCCTTTGTACTGAGCCTTCCCCACTCCCATCGGTGCTCCATTTGTCCCAGGTTCCAGTCCCCATAGCCTTCAGAGATGCACACCTCAGACCTCCCAGGCAGCCTGGACCCCGAGAAGGGAACAAACAGTGAATGATTCTGTAGTCTTCCTTAAAGTGGGCCGTGCTAAGCGGGGTGCTGGTGAGGGCTCCTGCAGAACTGGGGTTTGGGCTGCCCCAGGAGCAGCCTTACCTTGACTCTGCTTTGGTTTGTTGGTATAGCCATTAACCAGCCACAGTAGATTAGAGGGAGCTGATGTAAGTATGGTTTATGGTTCTTGGGTTACAGTCCAAGTTAGAGTCACCATTGGCTTTGAGGTGTTGACACAGTAGTGTAGAAGGGAACTTCCTGAAAACCCTTCTGCAGGGGCAAGCAGCTCTGGGAGGCTCAGGGCTTCATCTGAGGAGCTAGGAAAGTCTGGACCTTGGACGGAGAAGGTTCCTGGGGACAGCAAGATGCTGGGGCTGGAGCCGGTGTCACACTGGATGCCGCCATCACAAGCTCTGTGTGGAGCGTTGAGTCCCATGAAGTCCTGGGGGTGAGGCAGGGATGGCCTGTGTCCTGGGTGTTGGCCCCCAGGGCTGGGTTGGTGGCTCTCTGTCTGTTGGGCAGAGTTGCCACCGGCCATTCTGTTCTGGATCCAGCCTGGTGGGTGAGTTTGAATCCTGCACCTGTGCCCACGGTGCACCCTGCTTACTGGCTGCCCCACAGGTGGGCTATGAGAACGCGGGCACTGTGGAGTTCCTTGTGGACAAGCATGGCAAGCACTACTTCATCGAGGTCAACTCCCGCCTGCAGGTGGAGCACACAGTCACTGAGGAGATCACAGAGTAAGCCTGTGGGCAGGGGCTGGGAGCACCAGGAGAGGGCTCTTCCACCAAGTGGTTCCAGGAGACAGCAGGGAGGGGCTCACTTGCTCTTCACTTCGGCAGAGAGCAGTGAGGGACCTACGGGCTTAATTATAAAATGTGTTATAAAAGTATGACATGGTGATTGTAAAAATTAACACGAAAGAGCAAACAAAACCCATTCAGAGCCCCACCCCTCAAAGTCAGGACACCCATGCTGCCCATAGCTGAGTGCCACGGTAGGTGCTCCATGGAACCCTAAGGCTGCACTGTGAGGAAGGGATCAATCGCCCCATTTTTCAGATGAGGAAACCAAGGCTCAGAGAGGTTAAGAGAGTTGCCCAAGACTGTACAGCAGAAACTGTAACCCCTGGTTCTCTCTGGTCCTGCCTCCAACTATGCAGTGCTCCCTCTACCCACTCAATCTTTAGCTGGTTTTTCCCATTTTTATTTACTCCATAAATACTTGATGTAATTGAGATGTTTTATTTAGAATGTTTTCTGGCACCATTGTTAACTCAGGGTCTTACACTTACTAGAGGCAGGAGCTTAACCACTTGAGCCACATATTCTACTTTAAAATTTTTGATTTGTTGAAGGCTTTCCCCAGGCCATTATTCTAAGTGTGTGTAGTGGCTGCAGTGTCCACCATCTGTACACCTGACAATTCAGTCATGGTGTCCTCTATCAGGCATTTGTGGTTTAGGCTGTGACCATTAACATTTGTGTACCAAAATCTGTGCTACACTGTGGAGACTTCTGAGGAGAGGCACGTTAGTGGGATTAGCTGATCACAAGAGATGTGACATCTTGCCTCACAGCTTTTTAGATAGCTCGGACTTCTGCATACATTCTCTCACCAGCTTTGAGTGTAAACATTTGAAAAATCTGTCTACTCTATACACCATTAAAATGGCTTTCATTGTTTCAAGATATGTATTTTGAGCCATTTAAGTATTAAGCCTTGGCTTTGGGCCAGCCTACCCCCCTCACCATGGACCATTCCTGACTCTATTGTCTTCCCAACCCTTGGCACCCAAGATTGTGGGTGCTGCCTGTGTGGCTGCCTTTGCTCAGCTGGTGCACAAAGACTGGAACTCCTCTCTCTCCTTGGTTAGGGTTAGAGTCAAGGCAATCACTGCAGCTGTATGCTCTGGCCCCTTGAGACTCATCCTACTGCTGAAATTGTCAGCCCTGGATGCCTGGGGCCTGCTCTGCAGGAATGGAAGGCGTTGCTCTGAGCAGAGGTTCTCCTGGGTCCTGAGCTATGTGGAGCTTGGGTCAGCTGCAGCTTTGACCCTTGAGCTCCTCTTCCAATGGGAATGATGGTGACTCTTCAGGCATTGTCATGCATGTCTAGCATAGGAAGAGCACAGCCTTGTCCATGGCACGTGGAGATGGTGGTGACACATGGTCATGGCTAAGTGGTGATATTGAACATAGAGGAAAATCTGCCAGCCCAGAGCTTCCCACAGGCCTCAGTGACAGAAGCTCACTCCCTCAGTGAGGAGCCTTTTTCAGAGCAGCTCCACTTGAATTTGTTACTGTCCTTAAGACATGGCAGGCTGTCCGACTGAGCTTAGAAAACCCTGTAAGTGTGGACCCTTGAATTCTGAAGTCTTTCTTAGCGAGACCTTGAGGACAAACCCAGTGAGATGCAGAAGTCAGCATCCTGACCACATGGTGGACCTCCAAATGTGATTCCCCAGTGTAGCCCCTCTCATTCCAAGAGTGGTATCCCAACCCTGTGACCTAGAGCTCCTGAGCTGAGGCTTCAAATTTTGGCACCACCATGCAGACTCTGTGGGAGGCAAGAGCTCACAGAACCCAGGGACAAGTAGGCAGAGGATGGAAGGGTGGGTGGTGTCAGCAGGAGGCTGAGGAACAGGTCAGCCTGTGTCCTCTTGCAGCCCCTTACTGCCACCGTTCTTCAGTTTAGACAGTTCTCCCTGGGGGCAGCAGGACCCGGCTGTGGAGCCACCAGGTGGGAGGAACCTGTGCCAGTGTGTGTTGTGGCAATGAGCCTTGCTCATTGCCTCCCATTGTTTCCTGCCTGCAGTGTAGACCTGGTCCATGCTCAGATCCACGTGGCCGAGGGCAGGAGCCTGCCCGACCTGGGCCTGCGGCAGGAGAACATTCGCATCAATGGCTGTGCCATCCAGTGTCGGGTCACCACTGAGGACCCTGCGCGAAGCTTCCAGCCAGACACCGGCCGTATCGAGGTAGGGGATGTCTCAGGGGATATGATGCCAGGCTTAGCCTGCGGAAAGTTCTCACTGCCTATCTAGGGCATTCAGGGCTGCAACATCAGGTTACCCAGGGGTTCTGCAGTCAGGAGAATCCCTGCTCAGGCTGGTCTAAAGCTGGCCGGGAACACATGGGAGTCCGGCACTGTCCCAGAGTAAGGGTAGAGCATTCCGGGAAGAGGCAGTCCTGTACAAAGACCAGGAGAAGCCAGAATGAACCACCTGAGAATAGGGCAGGCCCGCTTGGTGGGGCAAAGTGCTGGGTCCCTCCATGTGAAGCCAACACTCAGGACTTCCAGAGCCCAGAGCCTTGCTGTGATGGAGCTGGAGCTGTATTTGGCCTGGACTTCAGTCAGGGGCAAGGGGGCAGCAGGCAAGGCAGGACCCCAGAGCAGGGGTGGGGGACCTTGCCCCTATGGAGGGGTGAACCAAGTGAGGGTGGCAGCAGTGAGGAGACCGAGGGACAGAGTTCGGGGTCACAGCTTCCTGTCCCTATCTTTCCTCTCAGTGCTCAAACCCACCCCGCCAATCAGAAAAGCTTTCTCCTCCCCCACCCCCATCCCCAGTCTCTGACCTCCCGCCTGCTCCCTCACCCTCTGAGTCCTGTGTGTTGGCAGCACTGTGCCAGCTCTGCTGCCCAGCTCTGCCCATTGGTCTGGGCCTGGAGGATGCAGGAACTGGAGGAGCTTGGGGCCAGCCCGAGTCCAGGACGGAGAGCCTGGGCCTGGGCCAGGACCATAGGGATGAGAAAGAGGTAGATTCTGGCTTCTAAGACCTGAGTGGTTGAGACTGGGGCAGAGGACCTGTACTTCCTGGGTTCTGAGAGGTGTACAGGCCTGTGGGTCTCCTCAGAGAGCTGGCCATCTGCATTTGTTTTTAGAAGGTAAGAACCTATGGGTGGGAGTGTTCCTAGGCCAGTGCTGCCCCATGGGCCTGACTCCTCTGCCCTCGGCTAGAAGGAACAGCCTGGGGACTGGGGTTCAGTTGTTAGCAGTGCTTCTTTCCACCTCCACCTCCACCTCCACCTCCACCTCCACGGCCAGCTGCTCAGGGCCTTTTACCACAGAGTATTTTTAGCTGGCAGTTCCTGCTCACAGCTGAGTGTCCACCCTTAAATATTTTATTAAGTTCCTTTTTATCGAGCACAAGCCTGTGTCCCTGAGAAGCAGAAGGGTGGTGCTATGGGTGTCCCCATCCCCTCTGGCTTCTCTCCTCCTTTCTCACAGGAACATGAGGGTCCCCACCCCTGCCTAAGACTGTCACGAGCACTCACCTGCGTGTGTCAGTCTCCCAGACACCCCAAGCCTCCATCTCCCTAGCCCTCACCGTCCCTCTGCTTCCCCTCCCTGTTAACTTCCTGGTGAGCTAAGCATGCACCTGTCTCTGCTCACATTGGATATGTGTTTTCCATTCTCCATGTTCCATTGCCTTGTCTCCTTCCTCTGCTTCCCACTCTTCCTTCCATTCTCCTCTTCAGCAAGGAAGGGAAGGAGTGGATATTGTGGCCTTCCCTGTCATCCTATATGTTAAAAACAAAATGAAGCTGGGCACAGTGGCACAGCTTGTAATCCTAGCCCTCAGGAGACTGAAGCAGGAGGATCACAAATTTGAGGCCAGCCTGAGCTACATAGACTCTGTCTTGAAACCAAAACTGCTGGGTGCAATGGCTTACACCTGTAATCCCAGCTATTTAAGAGGTTGAGATAGGAGGATTGCAGTTTGAGGTCAGTCCAGGCAAAAAGCCAGACCCTATGCCTGTAATCCCAGCTATGCAGGAAGCAGAGGCAGGGGGATCATGGCTGAGACCAGCCCCAGGCAATAGTGCAAGACCCAATCTCAAAAATAATCAACACAAAAAGGGCTTGGGTATGGCTCAAGTGGTACAGCGCCTGCCTTGCAAGCACAAAGCTCGAGTTCAATCCCCAGTACTGCCAAAAAAAAAAAAAAAAAAAAAGCATTAAAATACTCGGTCAGCTTGCCTGGCGCTCCTGTCCTTGCTCATTGTCTGCAGTGTCCTCTCCACTCTGTGCATTTCTGTATTTGTCCCAGAGCCCAAGTAACCAGGGACTTCTGTGTTAGCTGTCATGTCCACAGTGTGGGTCTGGCACTCGGTGCTCCATACAGCTCCTGGAATGAATGAATAGACACATGACTGGATCTGTAAGGCAGAAGGGTTGGAGAGGCAGGAGTGAGAGGTTAGTGGGATCTGACCTTTGCCTACCCAGGCATCTTGGCACGTGGGTGGCTGAGCACATGGCCCTGGGACTGACAGGCTTATCCTCCCTTGTCCCTTCCCAGCTGCTGAGTGAGCGCACAGGCAGCAGTGACTGTAGGACTCAGGGAAGGAGGAGGCTCTTCCCTTTCTACTTGCTGGTAGAAGTAGAAAACTCACAGTCTAGAAGTTGGGGTTCCCCCACAGTACTCTTGAGCTCAGCCTGACTGTGGGGCCTGTAAGAGCTGCAGGTTGGCTGCAGCCTCCGCCCTGCTCCTGACCTGGGCTTTTATCGGCCACAGGTGTTCCGGAGCGGAGAGGGGATGGGGATCCGTCTGGACAACGCCTCTGCCTTCCAAGGAGCTGTGATCTCACCCCACTATGACTCCCTGCTGGTCAAAGTCATCGCCCACGGCAAAGACCACCCCACTGCCGCCACCAAGATGAGCAGAGCCCTAGCCGAGTTCCGCGTACGAGGTGTGAAGGTGAGAGGCCACACTGCTCCTGCCTGTGCCCTCAGAGGGACCCACGGCGGGTCACACAGCTGTTCACATGCTCGCCAGGGGGCTGATGTGTCTCTGCCTGCCTTGCCCACAACTTTGATTCTCAAGGTCGCTGGCTGCTCTCGGACACTATTGGTGCCAGGGCCTCCCCTCTGCCAGGACTCAATGTTCCTGGGCCTGCTTGGGCCTGGTAGCTCCTGCTCAGATGCTCTGGTGCCTAGCTGAAAGCCTTGTGCAGAACTTGTGCTGGACAGACCCATGTCAATGTTTCCAGCCCCTTCTGGAATCTGACCCCACAGGTTTGAGGAGAGGCCCCAGAGCCTGTGTTTTAATGAGCTCTCCAGGAAATTCTTAGTATCAAGAAAATGTGTCCCCTGAGAGAGAGCTCATGCCCTCAGCGGGGAGGTTAGACTCTGCCAGCCCGTGGCTTGCTGTCTGCCGAGTAGTAGGTGCTTCAGGGACAGGCAAGGAGCATGGCTGTGGTGAGGCTCCAAAGTACCCATTGCCTCCATGTTTGGTTTTCTTCATCACTACTGTCTATAGCTAGAAGTGAATTCACAGCCAAGAAATACTGTCCTTTGAAGCCAGAACTTGCCCGCGGATCCTGTAGGCACCACTGTCAGCTTGAGGGACAAAGGCTTGGGCCCTGAGCCCCTTGGAAGTTCCTCTCCTCCTCTTCCGGGGCTCCCACAAGATCACTGCTACAGCAGAGGTGCCTGGTCACATGGCCATTGTTGGGCGCTGGCCTCCTTGTCCTCCTTCTGGCCTCTTCCAGCCCTGCCTGTTGTAAGGCTGCCTGACACACTGGGCCATCCCTTCCCATGTGTTCCCTGCTGGAGATCCTGACTAGCCCCCAGTGATTGAGCTTTGCCTCTCAGTGTCTGGGTCCTTTGGGCCACAGTACCTCACACCTGTGCTACACTCCAATGGGTCCAGGAACATCCTTTCCTCTGGGTGGAGAAAGCAGCACAGGGCCCATGACTATAGGGGCTGCAGCAGGACGAAGATTTCTAGGGTGGCCAGTATCCTTACCAAATGTGCACCCAGACCAGGCTGCTGGCTCCTGCCACACCTTGAGCCTCTGCACTCTTGTGCCCTTCCTACCCTGCACACCTCACCCTCCCTCTCTCTGCCCACCCTGCCTTCCATGGCTCCTCCTCTCCTGCTTATCACCATAAGGACCTTGTTTCCATTTAGTTAAATTGACATCTCTCTCGGTCACACAGGGAGGGACCCATCTGGGAGGGTGGGTACATGTGCACACTAGAATGCTAGCCCCTCCAGGCTCCCTGTCAGAAGCTCTGTGGTTCTCATATGGAAGCACCAGGGTGCCTGTGAGGCACAGGTGCTGTGGCCGGTCACCTGCCAGGCACCATGGCAGGCCTGGGATGCGAGCACCCACCTTCTGCATTTTTTCCCCTTTATTCATATGTTCATATGTACATACATTGTTTGGGTCATTTCTCCCTCCTGTCCCCACCCTCTCTGTCTCCTCCCCAACCTTCTGCATTATCTGAGGGGTCACGTGAGGAGTGCTAATGCCCTAGCCTACCCCAGGGCAGGCAGGGCCTGCCAGGTATCTTGCAGAAGTGGAGCGGGAGAGATTGACACATGCAGCCAAGATGGGTCTAGGCCATCTTTCCAGAAGAGCCTAGGACACAGCCACAGGGGGCCTTGGAGGGACAGGTGGGAGGCAGCATCTCACTTGGGCCTGAGGAATGACAGGACCTTCTGGACGGTCCAGTGAGATTCCAAGCCACTGTGGACAGCATTTTACAAATCCAGAAGATGCTCCAGGATATGGTGGACAGGACTGGGGCCTTTTTATTGAGTTGTGCTCAGGAGACTATCCCCACCCAGGTTCCTTTGCTCAGAAAGACCATACCATCTCCTCTAGTAGCTAAGTGTAGTCCTGTCACCACTCCTCAGGGCCATAATACACTTAGCGATGCCAGGGACAGGGCTCATGCCAGCTGCAAGTGGCTGGGTGCCATATACTGGGGCACTGCATCCTGTGCACACCTGCCAGGAAGAGGTGGCCTCTGCACTTACAGACCAGGGTACCAAAGCCCAGAGAGCTTAGGTGACTTGGTCAAGGCCACTACTACTCTAGGGCTGAGTTCACCCAGGTGAAAAGACACCAGACCCTAGCACTTGACCCTTGCCTTGGGCTGGGAGTCCCAGGCTGCTAAAGCCACCTCTGCTGTGCTTGGCAGCTGGCCTTGACATCTATGCTGGTTTGTGGGCCTCTACCAGCCCTATGCCTCATCCTCCCTTCCCTCCTTCCCAGGATGAGATCAGAGACCAGAGACCAGCAGGGAGATATCCTCAACAATTTTATTATAAATAGAAATAAGATCCCACTTGGTGGCTGCAGCCTCTACCTTGATGGCTCAGAGCACCTGTCGGAGGGACCTGCTCCTTTACCTTAGTCTGAAGGCCAGAACCAAGGAAAGGGCCTGCTGTCCCACCAAGAACACGGGGAGCCTGAGGTACCGAGGATAAAAACCAGAGAGGCCTGGGGTGGTACTGCCACCCAGGCTGGGCCTTCTGGCTGGTACACTGCTTTTTCCTCAGGGCACAGGAAAGCTGCCCCACCCATCACACCACACTCTCCTCCAGCCGCTCTGCACTGCCCCCCACACCCCTACAGCCTGCCCCCAGCAGCCCTCCATGCACAGAGTGGCTCCGCCGGGCCCAGGCCCCCCCTAGACGCCTGGCATACCCGTAGCACCCACCAGCATCTCCCAGGTCCAGGGAGCAGCTGCGCTGGGGGCGGGGTGGGGGGCTGCGTGGTGGGTGGGTCTTGGGTATGGGGCTGGGGCCTCCGTTGGTCTGGGACTGGACGTGGCTGAGCTTGAGTGGGAGGCGGCCGTTCCCAGTTCCCCGGCCCCGAACCAGCAAGGCCACAGTGAAGACCAGTAAGGCAGCCACCAGCACCCCCCCCACAGCCACAGTCAGGGTCCCGCCCAGCACATGGGCCTGCAGCGCGTGGCACAGGGGTGTGGCTGGCAGTGTGGAGAAGTGGGCACAGCCCAGCAGCCTAGTTGCTGTGAGGTCGGAGGGCCCAATGGCAGGCGACAGGGCCAGCAGGCAGAGGTCATAGTCAGCATCAGGAACCAGGTGCTTTAGCAGGAAGTGGTGGCTGGAGGCTGGAACAATCCTGCAGGCAATGGCAAGTGGTCAGAGCCCCAGGGTTGGGTTCCTACCTTGGAGCTGGACCTGGAGCTGCCCCAAGTGGTGCTCCCAGGTCCAGCACTGAACAGCCCCACAGGCCCTGAGAACCCACGCTTGTGTTCTCTCTCAAGAAGGCACAGAAACCAAGACAGGCATGTGTGCATGACGGGCAGGTGATGGGACAGACAGGTGTGCGCACTGACTGCCCTGGGCAGTGGGGGATGGCACCAGTAGAGGCAGAAATAACAGGGGCATTAGGTGCAGGCTCAGCAGATACCCAGTTGCCACCACCAGGTCTGGGAGGCTGGCATATGCACAGCCACCTTGGACACCTTGCACAGGGCCATCGGCCTCCACCTCCCCATGCAGCCCCAACACCCAAGCAACTGCTCCTCTGAGAGTTCAGGCATGGAGGAGGGTGTGTGACCCAAGGAGAGGAACAAGCAGGACTTGGGAGTGCAGGGTCAGAAAGGGCAGGCTGAATGGGGAGCAGGGGATATTTCCTCACCGATAGATGAGGGTCTCATCTTCACTGCTGTTGTACTGGATTTGGAACATCCACACGGGGTCAGTAGGCCGCCCTGGGCCCCAGCTCACCAGCCCTGAGGTGGCAGTCACCTCTGTCACCTGCACAGCTGGCTCAGACTCCATAGTCCCCTCGCCCTCTGCAGCAGTTCGAGCTGAGGCAGCAATGTCCGAGGGCCCAGGGCGGCCACCCTCAGCACTGGTGTTCCCACCATGGGGTAAGGCCAGCACCCGAAGCTCCACACGGGCCGTGGCCTCACCAGCAGGGTTGGTGGCAATGCAGGTGTAGCCTCCAGCATCCCCAGCACCTGTCACCCCAATCTCCAGGGTCCCATTGGGGAAAGCCCAGGCGCGGGAGGAATTGCCAACCAGCCGGTCGTCAGGGCCAACCCAGTGCATGGTGGGCGCAGGGTCACCAAGGGCCCGGCACCGTAATGTGGCCCTTTGGCCCTCCAGCACCCACAGGCGCTGTGTATGACGGGCAATGAGGGGCGGCTCACAGGAGAACTCGCCCTCTGGCACAGCCCAGAAGTATCGGCCAGCCAGGCCTGGTGGGGAGGCACAGGTCTCCAGGTCATCAGGCCGGGCCAGCCGCCGCAGCCACAGCAGCTCACAGTTGCAGTGCAGGGGGTTCCCACTGAAGCTCAGCACGAGGGGGGCAGGAGAGGCCTCTGCATCCCGCCCTCGGGAGAAGAGCGGATCCGGTGCCAGTGTGGCCAGGCGGTTGGAGGTGAGGTCAAGGCGGGAAAGCTGACCCAGCTGGGCAAAGGCGCCTGGTGGCAGCGCGTCAATGAGGTTGTGGTCCAGATTGAGGGTGTGCAGAGCAGGCATGGCACCGATGCCAGCCCAGGGTACCTGCCGGAGGTTGTTGTAGGACAGGTCCAGGTCCTCCAGGCTGTCCAGGAAGTCGTCGAAGGCCCCTGGTGCAATGCGGCCCAGCTGGTTGCTGCTGAGGATGAGGTGCTGCAGGTTGACCGGGCCCCGCAGACTGCCACTGCCCAGCTCCACCAGCCTGTTGCCGTCCAGGTGCAAAGAGCGAAGGCTCTCCAGGTCCCCAAAGGCGCGGGCCCCAATGCGAGTGATGGCATTGCGAGACAGCGTCAGGTCCACCAACCCTGTCATGTTGCGAAAGTCCGGTGGCCCAAGGGCCTGGATAAAGTTGTCAGCCAGCCGCAGCTCCACTGTGCGCCGGTCCACGTTGGGTGGCACAAATAGCAGGCCTCGGTGGGCACAAAGGGTGCTGAGCGATTCCGACAGGTTCTGGCAGACACAGGGCAGTGGGCAAGCAGCTGCTCCACTGGCCAGCAGGAGCAGTAGGAGCGGCGGGGCCATGGTGAGCGCCCTGTGGGGAAGGGCCGCAGCCCAAGCACAGGTGGGGCTGGCGCAGGTGCCCACTTGTGCCCAGAGCACAGTCCCAGGAGCCAGTTTCCAGAGCCTGGCCTGGGGAAAGGTGGGTTCAGAGGCTCAAAGGACCCGAGGAAGGAAGGTTGGGGCTGAGAGCCAAGCCCCCCAGAGTTAAGGTCACATTTCCCAAGCAGTTAGGGGGAGTCCAGGCGCTGGGGACAAGGTGAGGCATGAGGCAGGAAGCGGAGGTGGGCCCAGAGCAGGGAGGGTCCCGGAACTTCCTTTTCCTGGCGTCCCCTGGATTTGCCAACCTCCTCCCCACTCCGCGCCATCCCCTCCCCGGCCAGGGAAGGCGCCCCCTCCAAATCCCTCGCGTGGACCGAGGTTCCTCCCCGAGCGGCCCCCGCGCTGCTTCCCGCGGCCCCCCTCACCTGGTGTCCGTCACTCAGGGGGCACGGGCCGGCCTCCCCGCGGGCCCAGCCGGCCCCCGCCGACTCCAGGCCGCTCTCCCGCGGGGCCGAGGCCCGGGCCGCCTGCCGCGCGCCCTCCGGCCCATGGTGCTCGGGCCCGAGGCCCCGACTCTCTCGGTTCCCGGCACCCTTTCCCGGCGCGGTTCGCGGTGGCGGCGGCCGCGACAGGCGGGCGGGCGCGCGCCAATGGGCGCGCGCGCCGCGGACACGCACGTGGAGGGCGGACGTTAAGGGGCGCGTGAAGATCTACCAGGGCTGGGGCCGACTCCCGAGGTCACGGGGACACGCGGCCACTGCAGCGCCCAAGGTTTGGCGCCCAGTCACGCCCGAGGACCAGGCTGGCCCAGGCCAGCTGCGCTGCCCCCCGGTGCTGCCGCAGCGCACTCACCCTGGCACGGGCGCGCGCGCCCCCGGCCACCCTGGCGCCCCGACATCCTGCACCGATCGGGCGCCCGCCGCGGCGGCTCTGCAGACAGCCAGACAAAGCGCCCGCTCGCGGGCCCCTTCACCATCTCCCAGAGACGGGTCTTTGTCACATGTCGCTGGGCACCCTCCCCAGCACGCCCACATATGCCCACACACCCACACGTCCCCGCAACCACGGGCAGGGCCGGGCGCAAACCCGTACTGTTGCTGGGACCCTCGCGTTCACAGATACACGCTGAAGGTCATAACCGTTCCGCATCACCGAGTCACGTGGAGGGTCCCCAACAGGCACGGGCCCTGGGGGGGCTGGGGCGGCGCCCCAGGCAGGGCTCCTGCGGGGTGGAACCGAGAGGGCTCGGCCTCTGGGCAGGCGCCGCGCCCCGCCCTGCTGCCCGCCCCTCCCTCCTCCCTGGTCCCCGCCCGCCTCGTTTGCTAGGCGCTCGGGAGCCAACCGGCCTCCGCCTCCGGCCGGATTGGTCTGCGGCGCGCCGCTTCCCAGCAGGCTGGCGGTGGCACGCTGTTTGAAGCTGTGCGTCAGTGGTCCTCGCCGTACTGCGGCCCCGCCCTCCCCCTGTGCCCCAGGAGCGCGGCCCTGGGTGGGCACAGGTGTGAGGTGGCCTTAGAGATTTGCGCCTTGGGTGAGAGCGCTGAGGGGCTGGAACCAGCTTGGGCACCCTGGTTCTGGTTTGTGACCGCCACTATGAGTGGTCCGCTTAGTTGGGACATATGGGAAATCCATCTCCTGTGGGCATCTCTTCGTCCTTAGGCAAACTAGGCCCCCTCTTTCCCGTTCCTCTCCCTCCAGACCGTCATTCTCGGGGGCTGGTAACGCGAACTCAGGGAAACCAGACTGCGTTCTAGTCCTGCTGGCGCAGCTGCGCAGCGTTGGGCGAGTTACTTAACCACGGAAAGGATTTCCTCCTGTAGAACATGGGGCGTTAATTGCAGGTACTTACGCCCTTCCATGAGGAGAGCAAACCTGCAGCTGAAAGCCAAGCTCACCATTGCCACTGCGTGGGCCTCAGCTATTGCACTAATAAAGCCAGGGGTTGGATCCTAGTCTGCTCAGCTCTGGTGTGCAGTGGCATCACATACTTCTTTGTTCCTCTTCTCTCCATCAGCGTGTTTCCATTCACTCCGAACACACGTGTTTCCTAGCATCTGCCTGCCATGTGCTACCTTGTGTTGGGAGCCAGAAGGGACTGGTTCCTGACCCCAGGGAGCTTCCACGACAGATCCAACATGGTCAGCTCAACAAAGGGGAAGGGAAGGGAGCCACTGGAGAGGGAACTGGTAGGGGGACTCTGAGGAGTCTCCTCCCCTTATATGGCTCTGGGTTCTTTAGATGGTTTGATGGGCTATTTCCCTTCCCAAATGCCATGCTTAAGTCTAGTTGAAATGTCCCTGTTTCTTCAGGGCAGACAGGCAGCACTGTTACGGCAGATGGGAACAAGGCACTGATGGCTGGGCCCCAGTGACCACCTGTGGGAGGTTCGTGGGGAAGGCACTCTTCCTGTCCTGGCCTCCAGGTGAAGGTAGAGACTCTCAAAGGGGCCCATGCTGGGCCTCAAGTCCCTATTGAAGGCACAACAGAAACCGTGAATACCGCCCAGCCATGTGGCCTCCCAGCTCTGGGGTATCTCTTACAGTGTTGGGCCCCAGGTCCCCAAGTGCTTTCTAGGTTACTCACCCTGCCCCAGCCTTGTGCTCACCCAGCCATTTCCCGGGAACCGAGGACCTGTGCACATGGCACACAGACCCAGCACCCCTCTCCCATAGCTCACAGGGAGCAATGGAGGCCGACAAGCAGAACACAGTGAGGTGGCAGGATGGCCTTCCAACAGCTGGGCCCACAGGGAACTACTAGAAAGGGAATCACTGTGCTCTGCTGAGGGTGGGAAGACAAAGGTGGCCTTGGAATACAGACATTTAGGGAGATCTTTCCTGGCAGGTGTGGAGGTGTGAGAGCAGGTGGCTTAGTTGGTGTGGCTAAGGGTAGCCATGATGAGGCACCTCAGGGGAAGGTGTGGCCTGAGCATCTAGTCTGACCAGTGACACAGGAGGATTTTGGTAACTGGGTAGATGGCAAGGCACCCACCAGCCAAGCAGAGAAGCATAGGAGAGCAGGTCTTGCTGAGCTCATAGGAGATGTACAAGGAGAGCCACAGGGCAGGTTCCACCTTTGAGTTCCTGGCTCTGAAGACAGAGGCTGTCACAAGCCATAGGCTGAGAATTAGGCCACCTAGGGCTAGTGGTGTGTGAGAAGTGGAAGGGCCAGAGAGGCAGAGACCAGAAAAGCAAGATATCTTGGGTAACCTGGAGAGAGCCTCAGGTGGAAGCTGTTAGCAAGAAGGTGGTAAGATGCCCACAAGACTTAACCAGAGGAGGTGACCTAGTGAGAGTCAAAGTAAGGATGTGTTGGATGAAGGTAAGGGCCTTTTAAGAAGCATGGCTGAGGCCGGGCACCCATGGCTCACACCTGTAATCCTAGCTACTCAGGAGGAATACAGTTCGAAGCCAGCCCAGGCAAATAGTTCACAAGACTCTGGCTTGAAAAAACCCATCACAAAAAAGCGTTGATGTAGTGGCTCAAGGTGAGGCTCTGAGTTCAAACTCTAGTACCCCCAAAAAAATCATGGCTAAGAACTGGGTGTGGTGGTGCAGAGCTGTAATTCCGGCTACTCAGGAGGATCATGGTCCAAAGCCACTCAGGGCAAAGTTAGCTAGAGGCCCTATCTAAAAACAAACTAAGGCAAAAGGTCTAGGGATATGGTTCAAATTGTAGAGCCTAGAAAGCATGAGACCCTGAGCTCAAACTCCAGTACTGACTGGGAAAAAAAAAGCAAGCAAGCAAACATGCCTGGGGGGGACTAGAGGTTGGCTCCCTGTACCATGCTGCTGTAGGAAAGACTGAGCTGGGTTCTAGGTCATGGGGAGGGGTAGAGGTACGAGTTTCCAAACCCCAGAGGAGGCAGTGACATCAAGTACATGTTCCTGAGTGGTGAGGATCAGGAACGCCACCCAGCCCCTGGCAAGCTTAGGGGACTGCCGGGAGGGAGGAGGGAGGAGGGTGGGAGGGTGGGAGGCCCTGCAACTGCCCTGCTCCGCTCGCACCTGCAGCCTCTTCTCTCCCTTTACTTTTATGCTGCGTGGTGACACCTCCCTGCCTGCCTCTGTCTTGCAGACCAACATCCCCTTCCTGCAGAATGTGCTCAACAACCAGCAGTTCCTGGCGGGCACTGTGGACACCCAGTTCATTGACGAGAACCCTGAGCTATTCCAGCTGCGGCCTGCGCAGAACCGGGCCCAGAAGCTGCTACATTACCTTGGTCCGCCACACTGCCGCGTCTCCCTCCCCATGCCTGTTCCTAGCCTCCTACCCGTCAGCCCTGCCTCTGTTCTGGTCCTGCACACCCTCCTTGCTCCTGGTCTTGGAGACCTTTTTCTCCCTCCACTTTGCCCTCACTAGGTCTCCACTGACTGCACCTAGGAGGCCCTGGTTTTGGAGTGGTCAGGGGCAGCTGGAGGACCAGTTGTCCTAGAGGACTGTCCCCATCCCTAAGCCCACCTATTCACACTGCTGCCCTCAACTCTGCTTCTGCCCAGCCTGTCCTGACCCCTGCCCTCTCTCTCTCTAGGACACGTCATGGTGAATGGCCCCACCACTCCAATCCCTGTGAAGGCCAGCCCCAGCCCTACGGACCCCATTACCCCAGCTGTGCCCATAGGTAGGTGATACCTGTCTTACCAACTCAAGGGGGAGACATTGCCACCTGCAGGATGGGCATTAATGTGCTTGTTTGCCCTAGGCCCACCCCCAGCTGGTTTCAGGGACATCCTTCTGCGAGAGGGGCCCGAGGGCTTTGCTCGAGCTGTACGGAACCACCAGGGGCTGCTGCTGATGGACACGACCTTCAGGGACGCCCACCAGTCACTGCTGGCCACTCGTGTGCGCACCCACGATCTCAAAAAGATCGCACCCTATGTTGCTCACAGCTTCAACAATCTCTTCAGCATAGAGAACTGGGGAGGTAGGCTAGAGAAGGTTGGGGTGCAGGGCAACACTGCAGGAGTTGGGTACCCACTGTGTGGCCAGCCCTAAAGGCGTAGGCTACTGAAGACACTGGGAGAAGCTAGAGATGTTGACGTTGAGAAAACCAGAGTGAGAACTGAAGAAGGCAGTGCTGACTTGTTCCACAAACACCAGCTGGAAGTAGCTCTGGCCAGACCTGCTGCTGGGCCTGAGGCTGCAGAGTTGACTCAGCACTGTCCTGAGCAGGTTGGGGTCCGGGAGGAAACACATTTTGGGTTTTGTTTTCTTTTTGGGGGGGGGTAGTACTGGGGCTTGAACTCAGGGACTTGCGCTCACTAGGCAGGTGCTCTACCACTTGAGCCACATTCCCAGCCCAGGGAGGAAACATAGGCTGTAGTTAATCACAGCACAGAGAACTAGGGCAGGAGGGCAGGAGGGCCATAAAGGCATGCACAGAGGGCACAGTGAGCCTGAGCTGCCCTGAGGATCAACAAGGGAGAAAGTTGGTGGGGTTGGCACTGGGAACATGAGGAACCCTAAAGGAGAGGAGGGGCAGAGGCCCAGAGCTGACGGGCATGGCAGGGTCACTGTGACATGCAGAGTGACCCAGCGCTCTGTCCCTGTGCAGGAGCCACATTTGATGTTGCAATGCGCTTCCTGTATGAGTGCCCCTGGCGGCGGCTGCAGGAGCTCCGGGAGCTCATCCCCAACATCCCATTCCAGATGCTGCTGCGGGGGGCCAACGCCGTGGGCTACACCAACTACCCCGACAACGTGGTCTTCAAGTGAGCAGACACAGCACTGAGGGGCTCAGTGGGTGCTGCACAGAGGTGTCATGAGTGCAAAACAGTAGTCGCAGAACTGGAAGGGCTTCTAGATCACTGGTGGGCAGTGATGACTTAAGAGGGAGGCGGCTCGTCCCAGGCCACGTGGTGCAGAGCGGGAGTTGGCACGCAGGCCTCAGGACTCATCTTCTCTCCCATAGCCTGGTACTCCTTTGCAAAGTGGGAGCCGTGGTTGGTCCTCTGGGCCAGGGCAGGCTGGTGACTGCATGGCATGTGACCAGGGCAGGAGCCAGCCCTCCCACTGCTGCTGGCTCCCCAGATGCTGCAATTGCCCAGCCCAGGCTGCCCTGGAAAAGGCCACACGATCACACTGTTGTGCCCCCCCACTCCTTTGCCCAGCCAGACTTTATTCCCTAGGGGCTTCAGGGTGCACCAGGAGCCAGAGGAGGAAGTGCGGGGAGGAGTGGAGTGGGGTTTATCCCTGGCCTCTCACCTGCTCAGGTTCTGTGAGGTGGCCAGAGAGAACGGCATGGACGTCTTCCGGATCTTTGACTCCCTCAACTACCTGCCCAACCTGCTTCTGGGCATGGAGGCAGCGGGCAGCGCTGGGGGCGTGGTAGAGGCCGCCATCTCATACACGGGTGACGTGGCTGACCCCAGCCGCACCAAATACTCGCTGCAGTATTACATGGACTTGGCTGAAGAGCTGGTGCGAGCTGGAACCCACATCCTATGCATCAAGGTTCCCATGTCCTCCTTTCTACCTGGCCCTTGGCCCCCAACAGACACACATCAGGCTCCCTCCTTACTCTCTCTCTCCTCCCCACTTCCTCCAGGACATGGCGGGGCTGCTGAAACCAGCAGCTTGCACCATGCTGGTCAAGTCCCTCCGGGACTGCTTCCCTGATCTCCCACTGCACATCCACACCCATGATACATCGGGGGCAGGTGTGGCAGCAATGCTGGCCTGTGCCCAGGCTGGGGCAGATGTAGTGGATGTGGCGGCTGACTCCATGTCCGGGATGACCTCACAGCCCAGCATGGGGGCCCTGGTGGCTTGTACCAGAGGGACACCCTTGGACACAGGTAGGATGCCCAATGCCATGCCCTTTAAAGCTGCAGTCACCACCAGTCACAGCAGTCTCGCACGTCTGCAATCCAGATGCCTCACCCTGGCCTGGCTTCCTTTCACCCAAGCCTGAGAAGGGATCCGAGCTGGCCCTGGGTCCTGGGAGGAGCCCCTGGGAGCTCAGCACATGGCAAGTCCTCCTCTGACTCCAGCCTCTCTGCAGAGGTGCCTCTGGAACGTGTTTTTGACTACAGCGAGTACTGGGAAGGGGCTCGGGGACTGTATGCAGCCTTCGACTGCACAGCTACCATGAAGTCTGGCAACTCAGACGTGTATGAGAATGAGATCCCAGGCGGCCAGTACACCAACCTGCATTTCCAGGCCCACAGCATGGGGCTTGGCTCCAAGTTCAAGGAGGTCAAGAAGGCCTATGTGGAGGCCAACCAGATGCTGGGTGACCTCATCAAGGTGAGTGAGACCCAGTGTTCTTACCTGACATAAACCTGCAGACTCCTGCTTCAGCCTCTAATAAGGTGCCTGGCATCCTAACTTCCAGAGATCCTTCTCCTCAGGTGACACCTTCCTCCAAGATTGTGGGAGACCTGGCCCAGTTCATGGTGCAGAATGGGTTGAGCCGGGCAGAGGCCGAAGCTCAGGCAGAAGATCTGTCCTTCCCCCGCTCTGTGGTGGAGTTTCTGCAGGGCTACATTGGGGTCCCCCATGGGGGGTTCCCAGAACCCTTTCGCTCTAAGGTAGGGAAGGCCCAGCACAAGGCATGGGGAGGTTGGGTGCAGGAAACAGGCCTGACTCCCCTTTGCTCCCCAGGTGCTAAAGGACCTGCCAAGGGTAGAGGGGCGGCCTGGAGCCTCCCTCCCTCCACTGAATCTGCAGGCACTGGAGAAGGAGCTAATAGAGCGACATGGGGAGGAGGTGACCCCGGAGGACGTGCTTTCAGCAGCCATGTACCCTGACGTCTTTGCCCAATTCAAGGACTTCACTGCCACTTTTGGTCCCCTGGATAGCCTCAATACCCGCCTCTTCCTGCAGGGACCCAAAATTGCAGAGGAATTTGAGGTCAGTGGTTCTGCTGCTTATCCACACCTTTCCCTTGCATCCCCACCCCTGAGAGTTCCAGCACTCCTGCTCCAGACTTAGGCTTGGTTCTCAGCCAGCCTTGTGGGCTTTGGGAGCAGAAAGGACACCTGAGAGACCAGGAGCTAGGCCTTTACAAGTGAGGAGCCAAGACCCAGGGTAGCGAACTCCCCTGTGGATGGGGCCTGGGGTCTACTTTCCCGACTTGCTCTTCAGCTTGGTCCCCCATGCCCTTCCTGCAGGTAGAACTGGAACGGGGAAAAACACTGCACATCAAAGCCCTGGCTGTAAGTGACCTCAACCGGACTGGCCAGAGGCAGGTCTTCTTTGAGCTCAATGGGCAGCTGCGGTCCATCTTGGTCAAGGACACCCAGGCTATGAAGGTGTGACTTCCCTATGGCCAACCAGGTGGTGGGAATAGGCCAAGTCTGGTGTCTCATGTCTCTTCTGTCCTGTCTGCAGGAGATGCACTTCCACCCCAAGGCTCTGAAGGATGTGAAGGGCCAAATTGGGGCACCCATGCCTGGGAAGGTGATCGATATCAAGGTGGCAGCAGGAGCCAAGGTGGCCAAGGGGCAGCCCTTGTGTGTGCTCAGTGCCATGAAGATGGAGACTGTGGTGACTTCGCCCATTGAAGGCACTGTTCGAAAGGTCCACGTAACCAAGGACATGACACTGGAAGGAGATGACCTCATCCTGGAGATCGAGTAAACTTGCCCCTGACTGACAGCCTTCAACGGAAGCTGTGCTGCCAGGGCAGGCCCAGGCCAGCCAGTGCCCAAGGGCTCAGGAAGGCATTGGAGGTCCTGTCCCCCATGGGACAGCAGCCCATTCCCTTCAGCCATTTGTCCTTTCCCTAACGGTGGACAGTTGTTCACATATTCATCTCTTGCCAAATAAGGGTTCTCCCCTCATGGGACAATACAGGTGGTAGAGAAGGTGGTCTTGGGACCATGGGGAGATTTAAGTGGTGACTTACCTCCTGGCAGGGGGGTAGGAAGACCTAAGCCCCAGGTCCTGGGAACTTCGCTCAATAAAACTCCTTTCTCCTGTCCTCCACACTGGGTCCAGTGCAGCCAGCACCGTTCCTAGCATCACCCTCCTCCCAGAGGCAGAGGGACAAGACTGCCTCTCCCCTCAAACTCTTCATGGATAGATCAGTTGTTATTACTCCTTGGAGGGTAGCAAAGATGACAGTCACAGCTCTGGTTAATGCCACTACTGAGTGCCTGTTACATATACAGCCCAGACAGGTCCAGCTGTAGATCAGTGCTTAGGCACTTAACTGATAATAACTCAGGGAATCAACTTTCATCCATCTTGACACAAATCAAGTCACAGGAAGGTTAGGTGTCTTGTCCAAACCTCCACACCTAGGGAGAGGCAGAGAGGGACTTAAATCCATGGCTGTCCATGCCACACTGGTTTAGAAAAAAATAGAAATATTTTTTAGATTTAGTTTAGAGACAGGGTCTTGCTGTGTAGCCCAGGCTGACCTGGAACACAGGATTCTCCTGCCTCTTGAGTGCTGGTATTACAGGTGTGTGCCACCATGCACACCTGGGGAGATTAGACAGCAGCAGTTTACTGTCTATGTCCCAGAGCCAACCTCCTGCCTCTGGTTAGTTCAGGAATAAGTGGAAACAGGTAACACTTGGGCAGTAGGAGCCCCTCAGGAATAGATAGGAATAGATAGGGCAGACACTGCTGCCAACACGTTGGGTGAGAAGATAGGAAAAATGCTAGATTGCGAGGGTCAAACGTTCTCCCTGTTCATCCCACTGAGCAAATCCTGGGCCTCAGTGTCTTCACCTGCAGGGGTGACAGTAACTGGCTGCATCACTATTCTCCCACACACCAGCATGGGTGAGGGCGGTGAGACGACAGGCAGAGGCGGATGAGCAGTTCCTCAGCAGAATCGGGGGAAGGGCTGGTGGAGGAAATACTGGACTGTGAGAAGGGGAGGGGCACAGCCCAGACTCACTGGGCCTCAGGCAAAGAAGTAGAGCCCCTGCAAGCCTGTCCGCCGAGTGTCCTCAGGGTACTGGGACCTAATTGCTGGACAAGTCACACTGGGCCTGGGACCCCAAATGCATTAGCTCCTAAAATCAGCCACTCCCACTCCCTCCACACACACAGGGTGAGGGCGGAGGTTAAATGTCTGACTGATGCTGCGCTTTAGGGTCTAGGTAAATTTGTCGTATCACAGCCACCCTGGGATGTCATGGGGGAATGAGTGCACATCCATTTCCTTTTCTTCAGCCACCAGCCTCAGAGGAGAGGGTCTCAGGACAACCTCCTTGAATATGGAATGGGACCTAAAAGAGTATTCCTTCAAAAACAAAACCAACAAAGATTCAGGCAGGGCAATGAGAACCATTCTAAGAGTGAGGTGAGGAGCAGACAGAACACTAAAGTAGGTTCTGAAAAAGAACCTCAAGTTACGCTTTTGCTTGACAGAGTCCCTGTGGTTTTTAAGGGTTGCAGCCTTTTCTCTGGGTTCCTCCAAGGGCTAGATGAGGCATGGTGGTAGCAGTCCAGGTGGAGAGAACCAGGAGCCCCCTTTCCTGGGAGACTTAAAGCCCCCTTTCCTGAGACTTGAGGTCCATTCTGGACCTGCTTCCTCTTGTGTCAGTGGAAGCTAGGAGAACCTGGAGACCCTTGTGGAAGCCACACAGCCAGTCCTCCATCCTCTCAGAGGACAAGGCAGAGGCCCCATCGCTGAGTTGGGGCCGTGAGTCTCATTCCCTGACACTAGTAGCCAAGTGTATAGGCCCCAGGATGAGCTGGGTCCCACATGGCACCTGCAGTTTCAGATCCAACTGTGCTAGGATTTGGGCCAAGGCTCAGGAGAAAGAAACCATGGCCTCAGCAGCCAGCCTACTCCAGGGAATGACCTGTAGGGCTGAACTGTCAGAGGTGTTCAAGGTATCCAGGATGGGTGGACACGCTCCTATGAGCTGCCTGGAGACCTGTCCCAAGACCCCAAACAGACTGATTCCCAAAGGTCCAAGGCCATGTTACCCAAGTTAAATCTCTTTAATAACCCAATACAAAGTCCTGATGCAAAAAAGACAATGAGAAAACCCTGGGAAGTTTGGGGGAGGGGTCTTATAAATAACCCCCCCCAAGCAGCTTTTCAGAGGCAGAGGGGGGCAGAGGAGCTCTAAGAGAAGCAGCAGTTCAAAGTGAGGACGGGAGTGCACAACCCCCAGGATTTGCCCCTTGTCCCCTTACTTCCAGCTGCTCCTCAACCCCCTTCAAAAGGGGCTGCACCCTTGGATATCTGCTCCTTTCTCGTGGTCCCTGGGATTCAACTAGCTCTGGCTTCAATCCCCTACAAAAATTCCTGAGATCTCGGGGACCCCAACCAGCCCCTCCCCTGCAGTACTCCTTGATGGGGAAGGGGCTGCAGAGCCCATGAGAGTTCACTGGAGTGTACACAGGAGTGAAGGTCAGGAGCACAGGAGAGCCTCTGAGTCTCCTGCCCGCTCCAAAAGTACACAAAGGGGAAGGCTGCCATAGAGCTTGGGGTCCGTAAGGGGCTGGAGCAGAAGCAGGAAGAGTCCCACACCCAGGGCATAGCCTGCCAACAGGGGCCGCCTCTGCGGGTGCTCCAGGGCTGCACACACGGCAGGAAAGCCCATGTAATTGCAGAAGGAGTGGCAGAGGACCGGCCCAATCAGATGTCCTGAGGAGAGACAGTACAGTTCATAGAACAGTTCCACCACCTCTCCTAGCCCTTCCAGGACTAGTGACCCTAGTCCCCTCAAGTAGGAGCTCAGTAACCCACCCCTGACACTCACACCCACACACCACGGTTTTTGCTTCCTTCACTCTCAGACCTCACCAAGCTGAGGGCCCTAGCTCAGCTTGTCTCAAAAGACTGTGGTAGAGGAAACTTCTTTTTCTTCCTAGAACACACACAGTGTTCCCATTCTCCCACCAACTCCTGTGGACCCCTGAGCCCCTGGAGACCAATGAGAGACTGAGGACCAACCTGTGCGGATGAAGAGGAAAGCAGTGTAGGCACCGAAGACAGCTGTGTAGGAGAACTGGAACGCTGGAGACAGGGAGGCCGCAGGTGACCACACCTGTACACCCACCCTGCCCCAGTACTGCACACCCATCAGCCAGGGGCCATCCCTTTCCCTCTGGGGCAGTGACTGCCTGCCCCACCTATGGCTGTCCTCTGCATCCAACTTCCAGGGTCAGTGGCTCTCCAATTCTATAGCCCTCTATTTCCGGCCCCTTCTCCAGAATGGCTGCAAGGAATACCTTCACACACCCCAACCCAGGACTGCCCCCAAGCAAGCTCTTCAGGACTCACCTGCAGACAAGAAAATGCTCCCCACACTGCTCTGGCGGAAACGCAGCTGCTCAATAATGTGGTGAAAATGGGCTGGGAGGAAGGTGAGAACCACATCATATCCCTCTAGGACCCCCCTCACCCCAAGCCCCATTTCATTCCTCATGCTAGGAGCATCTTAGCAGGATGTTAGACAGACTTACCAACTCCAAAGAAGAGTGGGCAGGTGAACACAGCAGGGCCCAGGCCTGTGCACGGCGCTAACATGGGCAGCATGCAGGCCCGGAACACCAGCTCCTCTGTCAAGGGTGCGATCACTTGGTTCCGAAGCCAACGCATGTCTGTGAGGCAGCGGGCCCAGGAGCGGGGAGCTAAGGGAGGAGATTAAGGACAAGCAATGTGTGACTAATTACTGAACAGTGAGGCCCCACAGGCTCCTCTCCCACAATTTCTCCCTGGCCAAATGCATTTCGGGCATCAACACTTCTGAGGAGTGGAGAAGGGTGCCATCAAAGTTTACAAGTCACAAGATAAAACAATGTCTTGAGATGCTCAAAACAAAACATTAGTAGAAGAAATAGGATAGTCTGACAATAAACCCTGGTGACATCAAACTTTACCAAGAACAGCTCTGCTTTGGGGAAGTAGAGGATGAAGCAGTCTGGCCCATGCAAAGTACTGCTGCTGAGGGTCCCCAGAGGCCTCCGTGAACATCAGCAACAAACTCTTAGAGGCTACCCAGCAACACAGATCCCTTGTCCAGATCACACCTTGAGCGCACTGACTTTTTCCCATTGTCTACACTGCTTGTACCTACTTTTCTCCTCAGCCTTTAAGACTCACCCAAGACAACCTTCAGCCCATTGCTAGGTCACATGGGCAATCCATAGACAGCTGAATCAGTGGGCCCAGGAAAAGGATCTGGGGGGCAGAAAAACAGCGCAAATCAAAGGAATGACTTTCACAACAATCCACTGACCTTGCCCAGACCTTTGTCATTGGGCAGCCTCCTAAGACTTCAGGCTTTCTGAATTCCAGGATTTCCCAGTGATGCCTATCAGACGGCCGGTGGTGGGGGGCATATCACAATTCCCGTCTTTTATCAATCAAAAACCAGACACAAGGTGAGAAGAAAAAGACATGAAGGGTGCATTACACTGGTGGCAAAGAACAGAGCAGGAAAGATATAGAACTTACCATAGTCAGCAGCAGAGGCAGCAGAGCTGCTGGAAAAATGCCCTCCAGCCTGAAGCCCATCAGGGTGAGCAGGGATGTGCCTGGCTGAGCCACAGGAAAGGGGGCATCAGTGTTGCTCCCTCCCCAAAGACCCTTGAGTTCGCTCCCCCATTGCCCTCTGCCCCGCCTCCTTCGCACCTGGATGCCGGTGAGTTCCCTCCAGAGCAGCACGCAGAGGGGCGAGAGGCTGGAGACCACCAGGACGCTGGTGAAGCGCCGCTTGATGACAGCGGGGTGGTCCCTATGAAGGGGTCAGTAAGTTCAGGGGGCCCGCAGCCGCCCGTCAGCGCGGTCCCGCCCCCGTCTCGCCTAAGCTCCGCCCGCAGCCCCGCCTCGCGGGGGCGCGGGTTCCGGCCGCGCGCGCAGCCTCCGCACCTGGGCAGCTCGCTCTTCCAGACGTAGAGGCTGCCCACGTAGGAGCAGGCGAGGCTAAGGCAGGAGAACACGGACACCCAGCAGCACAGCCCGGGACCCGGACCGCCCAGCGCCGCTGACTCGGGCTGCCGCTCCGGCCGAGATACCGACAGTAGGCGCAGCCCATCCCCGCCCAGCGCCGCCATCGCGCCCGGACCCGCGGCGCGCACCAGTGACGCGACCCCGTGGAAGCGCGGATGACGTCAGGCGGCCGCGCGAACTCCCGGCCCCGCCCCGCCGCCCAGCCCCGCACTGTAGCAGACAGCGGTGTGCATAGCAGCTTTATTGAACACAGAAGCGCTCGGCCGCCCGCGTCCCTAGGCCCCGGGAACTCTCGGGATCCGCCCGGCTCAGGGCCTGGGGCCGGGACTCAGCCACTCCGACAGATTGGAGACCTCCTGCAGCCACAGCGCGTCCTGCGGGAGCAAAGGGGGCCCTGGGTGAGGAAGGACCCTTGGGCTCGGCGCGGCCCGATTCCCCCGTGCCCTTTCCTGCGCAGCACTCGCCGGGTCCTGCAGGCCACTCCCAGGGCTGTCCCTGCCCGACGCTGGGGCTCTGCCGTGGCTCGAGGTGAGGGAGGCGGCGGCGGGCTCCGGGCGATGCCGGGCGGCTTCTGGCGGGCCCGGGGCCCTGGCGGAGTGGAGAGCTCTCTTGAGCCTCTTGATGTCTGCTTGCCCGCTGGTCTCTGAGAGAAAACGGCCCATTTCGTCTTACTATCATGGCCTTGTGCTACCAAGGCCTCTGGGGCAGGGAGTGGGGCACGGCCCTCTTAGCTCTCCCCTCCTGTCCCTGTCGTCAGAGCCTGTGCAGTCAAAGCCCGGCAGCTCTGGGGCTTCGGGAGCAGGCCGAGACTGCAGAACAGTTTCGGCCTTCTTACCCCGCCCGAGCTTGGCATCTGGGTTCCTACCAAGCTCTCACTTGGAGGCCCAGGCCCCTCAGTGATTTTCCGCACAGATGTCCATGCAATCTGTATTACCAAGCTCCTCCTTTCTAGCCAAGCTCATTCCCAGAAAGCCACCCCACACCGAACCTCTCAGTTGCACTGGGCAGTGTCTACAGCAGCTTTCCTATTTTCTTTCTTTTTTTTTTTTTTTTGTAGCACTGGGGTTTAAACTCAAGACCTTGCACTTGCTAGGCAGACTCTTTACCACTTGAACCATTCCCCCAGCCCCTTTTATTTTGGTTATTTTTGAGATAGGGTCTTGGATAACCCATGCAGGGTCTGGACCAGACCGCGTTTGACAGCTTTTATTGGTTGAGACAGGGTCTTGCTAACTTTGAACTGCAATCCTCCCAATCTCTGCCTCCTAAATAGGATTACAGGCCTTGAGCCACTGCACCTGACCTCAGCTTTCCTATTCTTAACTGATTCATTTGTGCAAATTTAAAGTGGTTTTGGGTTGATAGATTCTCCTGAGCAGGTCCTGGAAATTTAAATCAATGAGTTTTTTCCCTGGGAGAAGCTCACAGGTGCTGGGAGGGATGCAGAAGTGTGTACAAACACCAGGGGTCAAAAGTATCCATCAGGTCAAATTAGCAGGTGTTGTGGTCAGCTGGAAGTGGGACATGGGAATGGGAGGCCTCTTGAATGAATCTAAGATTTCAGAAGTGAAAAATTAGTGTTGCTATTAATGACAGACTAAAGTAAGAGTTGCTGACCTTAGGGGTGCAGAAAGCAAGGCACAGGAGAGAAGAAATTGAAGAACCAATGGGACCGCTGCATGGAGCTTCCCAGTGAACAGACAATGCTTCCTTTTGACAGGAGACTACTGGACAGGTCATATCAGAGGCAGTCTTGAGCCCAGGGGCAGTGGTCAACAGCTGGAATGAAAGACAGCAGCTAGGAAAAGAGTACAGGCTGAGTACTATTTAATGATGACCAGAGAAGTTAGTGGAAGAGAAAAGCTGAGAAAGGGAAGAAGCAGGTGAGTCACAGTCATACAGTGCCAAGACCTGCAAGTAATTCAGATACATTAAAGGTAAATGCACAATTTGGTAAGTAAGAGGTTTTTCCATAACAATAGACCTTGTAGTTTCAGGAAAAGGTTCAAGAAAGTGTCAGGGGAAAAAGGGAGAGGGCGCATGCCCCTTGAGTTTTTTGAGAACCATGACTGCAAAGATCTGGAGAGACTGAGGCTAGGTGAAGGAAGTAAGTTCATGGGAGATTTCCTTTGAAGAAATGAGAAATTGATCTGCTAAGGGAAAAGAAGTCAGAAGAGAGTTGAAGGTGCAGAAGTGATAACTGACTCAAGCAGGTACTGAGGAAGCAGGAAAGGGCGGAGTCCCCATAAAGATAAGGTTTGTTTTGCAGCATGAGGAATACAGGTGGGTGAGTTTGCTGAGAAAAGAAATCACTGAGATTTTTTTTAAAAGAATGGAATAGCCATTGAGAAGAAAAGGGCCAGAAAAAACAAACAAGAAAAAGGATCAACAAACCAGAGGCTCCTAAGCAAGATGACCATAGATGAATGGTGGCATGAACACACAACTGTTCTGTGGTTTTCTTCAGCATAGCTGCCTGGAGGGGACACAGAATACATGCCCGATGAGAGCTGTAGGTTTGTAGGGCAAATAACTCAAGCTGTCTGGTGGGGTGGGGGGAGTAGGCTTGCCAGATTATAATCCCTTAAATTTTTTTGTTGCTGTTTTATTTTCTAGGGGGAGGCCTTGTGCTTACTTGGCAGGCGCTCTACCACTTGAGCCACACGTCTGCTTCTTTTGGTTGAGTTAATTTTCAGATAGGGTCTAATGTTTTTGTCTAGGTTGGCCGGGACCATGGTCCTCCCTCACAGTTCATTGCTGGGATCGCAAGTGCATGCCATCATGTCAAAATTACTGGCTGAGATGGGGGTCTCACCAAGTCAGGGCTGTCCTCAAACTGCTATCCTCCCTATCTGCCTCCCAAGCTGCCAGGATCACAGGCATGAACCTAATTTTCTTTCTAAGGGAAGATACGTACTCTCTTGCCTCTCTTCACTGAATAAGTACTGAATTATATGTAATATGCTTCATTTCTTAAACTTCTCCAAATCTAGCCAGGTACCAGTGGCTCACGCCTGTAATCCAAGCTACTCAGGAGGAAGAGATCAGGAGGATCGGGGTTCGAAGCCAGCATGGGCAAATAGTTCGGAGACCCTATCTTGAAAAACCCATCACAAAAATGGGTTGGTGGAGTGGCTGAAGGTGAAGGCCTGAGTTCAAACCCCAGTACTGCAAAAAAAAAAAAAAAATTCTCCAAATCTAAATTTGTAAAAATAGATTATTTGCTTTATACAATCCTTCCTTACAGGATTCTTTTCAGTAGCAATGGCCCCCACAACATTTATAACATGGTTCAACTGACAGAATGGTTCATGAACACATCTTAGGCTGAGCACAGACAACATGTAGTACATTGTAGTTATAACCCCAGAAAAAGGGATTTACCAAGAAAGCACAGGAGCTGAACCCACAGTCCCCAAACTCCCTCAAGTCCTGATACTGTTTTGTTCAAAGGACTTAAGACCTATCAGAGGGCATCTCTGCTGAGACAGTCCAGAGCTGGGTTGCCTGGATTTGAATTCAGGCTCTGACATTTACTAGCTGTGTAACCTTGGGAAAGTTTATTGACATCTCGGATCCTCAATTTCCTCATCTGTAAAATGAAAATAATAATAGTACCTATACCTCATAGGATTGTTTTGAGAACTAAGAGGACTAGTACATTTGAAAAGATCCAGAGTAGTGTCTGGAACCTGCTGGTGACTATATGTGAGAACTGCTGTTACCCCTGCTGCTGGCCCTGAAGGCTGTTTGAGAGTGGGGTGGGGCATGTGTGAAGAAAATACTTTAGTAGAATTGCTATATCACACACACCAGGGTCTTGTAACATACATCACATAGCAAGGTTGAGGTAGTGCCTGCACCCAGGCAGTCTCCGGATTCCACAGCACAGTAGTAAGTGGGAAAGAGCTGCAGTATCAACACTATTGATCAAGGAAAGATAGGAAGGAACTGACTGGACTCAGGGCCCTGAATCCGCTTATTGTTTTCTCCCCTGCCCTAATACATGCAGCTGTCAGTAACTGCCTGTCTGTGTTAGAAACTTCTAGTCCTGGGTGAGGATATAACTCAGTGGTAGAGCACCTGTCTAGCATGTGCATTTCCAGCCCCTCAAAAAGAAAAAGTAGAGTGCCCACCTAGCATGTGCAAAGCCCTGAATTCAAGCCTCAGCACTGCCAAGAAAAAAAATTCTAGTCCTGTTAAGCAGTTTTGGGGAGGAAATGCCTGCTGTTGCCCTGGAATACCCACAATAGCAGTGGGAGCCAACTAAATCTCAGACGTGACTGTGGTCAGAGGTGCAGTGGGAGAATCAGAAAACTTAGCCTTGTTTTTTACTTTCCTGTCTTCCATCTAGGCCTTACCTGAAAAGCCAAAGCCTTACCTGTAAGGACCTCCAGACTGTTGCTCTCATGTGCATCACCAGCGCTCTGGGCTGAATCCTTTTTCTCTGGCACAAGCTGCTTAATAAATCAGAAGGTGAATTTTGCAGCAGCCCTAGCGAAACAGGTGCTCCTGCCAGCTTCCCTGACCTCACAGGGCTGCCCTCCTTCATCTGGGACTCACTCTTAACTTCCTCCTAGCTCACGAACCCCCTACCCAGCTTCCAACCTTCAAGACTTCCTTCTGTGGACTCCTCTACAGCTCTTTCCAGGCACTCCCACCTTATCCTTACTTCTCTAAACTCCAGACACTTGCCCACTGTCTGCCCTCAGGCTCTGACGAGTGCTCTGGATGCAGCTATACATCACTTTTATGGGCATATATCCATTTTCTGTACCTCACATCCCTTGAAGGTAAGGTTCATCATGATCATAGCTCACAGAATGCCTTAACACAGGATAAGTACTCAATAAAGGAGACTAGTCAAGCCTGGGAAACCATATAGCACATTCCGTAGCAATGTGTAGTCTTTCAGAATCCTGCCACACTGATAGTTTCAATCTGGATAAGGAAGTAAAGGTATTTACTAAGACCAGAATCCAATCTTTCCAACTTCTTATTTTTCTTACTGTTTTTTTTGTTTTGTTTTGTTTTGTTTTTTTGGGTGGTTGAACGCAGGACTTCACACTTGCTAGGCAGGCACTCTACCACTTGAGCTATTCCTCCAGCAACACTTTATTTTCTTTTTCTTTTTAAGACTACAACTAAACTGAATGTGGTGGCACAGGCCTATAATCCCAGCACCTGGGAGGCTGAGGCAGGAGAATTAAGAGTTTGAGACCAGCTTGGACTACATAGTAAAACACTCTCAAAACACCAAAAATAAACAAATAAAAATGTATATCCTCTTCACCAAAATTAAAAACACATGCTACAAAGGATACTAGGAAGAAAGTAAAAAGTAAACTCACAAGAATGGGACAAAGTATTTGTAAATCATTTCTGATAAAATACTTTGGTATCCAGAGTCAAGAACTCATAAATGCCAAGCTTGGTGGCTCACATCGTAATCCTAGCTACCTAGGAAGCGAAGATCAAGATTGTGGTTTGAGGCTAACCTGGGAAAAATGTTAGCACAACCCCCATCTCAATAACCCAGGTGTGGTGGTACATGCCTGTAATCCCAGCTATAAGAGAGGCCATATGTGGTCTGAGGCCAGACCCAGGCAAACTTAAAGCCCTTTCTCAAAAATAAAGACAAAAAGGGCTAGGGCATAGCTCAAGTAGTAGAGTCCCTGCATAACAAGCATGAGGCCCTAAGCTCAAACCTAGGTATTGCCAAAAATAAAAATAAATTCATAACTGAGAACACAGTAATAATCTAACTTAAAAATAGACAAAGGATTTGAACAGACATTTCTCCAAAGGTGTATAAATTGCCAGTAAGCATATGAAAATGTTTAGGATGTCCAAATTTAGATCACTATAAGATACTACTTAATACCTGCTAGAATTGCAACAATAATAATAAAAAACAACTACTGATGAGGATGTTAAGAAACTGGAATCAGGGCCAGTAGAATGGCTCAAGTGGTAGAGTACCTGCCTGGCAAGCATGAGGCCCTGAGTTCAAACCCCAGTGTTCCTCAAAAGTTAAACAGTGCAATCCTATAGTTCCAGCACCTGGAATGTTGAGGCAGGAGTATAGTGAGTTCAAAGGCCAACCTGGGCTAACATAAGTGACTTCTGTCTCAAAAAGAATAAACAAAAAACCAGTTAAACAGGCTGGGGTGTTACTCAGTAGTAAAGTATGTGCTTAGCATGTGCAAAGCCCTGAGTTCAATCTCTAGCACCAAAAGAATTTTAAAACACAGTGTTACCATATAACCCAGAAATTCTACTCTTAGAAAAATATTCAGGAGAATCAAACATATGTCTACACAAAAACGTTTATAGTAGCATTATTTATAATTGTCAAGAAGTAAGAAAACTCACTTCACCAATTGATGACTGGACAAACAAAATGTAGTCTGTCTATACAATGGAATATTATTCTACCATAAAAATGAAGTACTGTTACATGCTGCAAACTTGGCTGAACCTTGGAAACATGTTAGATGAAAGAAGCCACACTTTATGATTCCATTTATATGAAATATGCAGAATAGGCAAATCCATAGAAATGGACAGTAGATTAGTGGTTTCTAGGGATTGGTGGGAGAGGGAAATTGGGACTAACTGCAACCTAATAGGTACACAGTTTCTTTTTCAGTGTGATGGAGATGTTCTTGAATTTGGTGGTGATGGTTGTACAACACAGTGAATATACCCAAGAGCACTGAATTGCACACTTTAAAATGGTAAATAAGCCAGGTGCCAGTGACTCACACCTGTAATCATAGCTACTCAGGAGGCAGAGGATCAGGATGATTGTGGTTTGAAGCCAGTCTGGGCAAATAGTTCTCGAGACCCTATCTCAAAAATACCCGTCACAGAAAAGGGCTGGTGGAATGGCTCAAGTGGTAGAGCCCCTGCCTAGCAAGCATGAGGCCCTGAGTTCAAACCCCAGTACCACCAAAAAAAAAAAAAGGTAACTCTTATGAGAATTATGTCATAATAAGATATTCTAGCGTATATTGTTCACTAAACCAGTTTCATGGGTATTTGGGGGCCTTAGATAAAGAAACAGTATTTGGAAGTTTTCCAAACTTTTCTTTGAGCAAAAGCTTTTTTCCCCCTTTCACTTAACTCTAGCATGGAAAACTAATCTCATGTAATAAACCTTTCTCTGTGTGGAAAGTGGTCTTATAAAAGGACTACTCACGTGAGATACAAGTGTCTGAACACTATGGGAACCTTGTACACCTTTTCTGCACCTGGGCCCCCAGAAGAGGCAACCTACCCTCAAGCTACACCTCCATGGGAAACCATGCTTTTCCTGAGAGAACTGCCTCCCTGTTCTCATTCTGGGTTTAAGTTCACAGTTCCCACAGATATCTATGCATTAAACCCTGAAGTGCTCTCTTGTGTACTCTTATTGGCTCGTTATCTGTTCTAACACCCAGGCTTAAAATTTCCACTGCTGCATGACCTTTCCCTGATGTGCTCTATAACACTCTAAATACGTATTCCTCTATGTCTTTCATTTCTCCATTAACCATATACTGTCCATAGATTTTCATTCTCTGTTATTCAGGAGGGTCAGCTATTCTGCCTTTGCTTTGGAAATGGAAACTGAGGGACTGGCACAGAGGTAAAAGGATTTGATCTAGCATCCTTGATCTTGTAGTTTGTAGCTGAAACCACTGGGTGCCACTCTCATACTACTACCAAGTTACTTATCACTGAGTGGGCATTACCAGAGGGAACCAGTGACGCATGGGATTTACTGGATGCCCTGGATCACTTTTTTCCTCTGGGCTTCCCACTCAGTCCTACATAGTCACAATGTTACTAGGATTTGAAGCCAGTACAAGTCTTAGGTTTGTCAGTTACCAGCTGTGTGACTCAGGCAAATTGCAAAAAAGTTTTAAAATCAGTTTCCTTATATGTAAAATGGGTAAACATAACCTCACTCATGAAGTCTTTGTGTAGATTAAAGAGGAAATCTTGGCACAGGTTAGCAATTCAGTAATGTTCCTTTCTTCCAAGATGTCTGACTACTAGAAAGACTTTTGAGTCCACTAACCATCTGCCAAGTTAGTTAATTAAGTTATGAATGGCCCTGAGGCTATAAGCCATCACTACCACCAAATCGTAAGATGAAAAGGTCAAATAATTTCTTTTTCAGATCTCACTGTGATATCAGGTCCAAGCAAAAGTGCTTCACAAGTTAAATCACTCCTAGAGGAGTCTAATGTGTACATGTCCTGGGTCCTGTGACAACTGTACATCCCCATCCTAAAGATGGATGGTTGTACTGAATCGAATTGTGCCCTATCCTTCAAAGATACCAGATCTCTGAATGTGAGCTTATTTGGAAAAAGGGTCTTTGCAGATGTAATTAAGGATTTGGTTATGGGATCATCTTGCATGCCGTATCTAGGGTGGGCCCTAATCCACTGACAGGTATCCTTATAACAGAAAGGCAGAAAGAGATTTAAGAGACAGATGGGGAAAGGCTAGGTGAAGATGGAGGTAGACATTGGGATTATGCAAGCCATAAGACAAAAAACACCTCCCACCAGAAGCTGGAAGAGATAGGAAATATTTTCCCCCATAGCCTCTAGAGGGAATGTGGGCCTGCCAGCACCTTGATTTTGAACCTCTGGCGTCCAGAACTAGAGAATAAATCCTCTAGTTTTAAGCTATTAAGTTTATGGTAATTTCTTACAACATCCCTGGAAAACAAATATAATATATAATAGCTTTAAATCTCTCAAGGTGTGGGCAGCAGCCCTCCAAATTGAAGGGAAACCAGCGAGATTATTTGCAGTGAATCTGCCGAGAGAACAGTAGCCAGATTGGGTGCTTCCTAAAAGGTGCATGCAGCCATAACAAAAAGTGTGGTGAAGGGAGCATTTACAGGGGCTCACTGCTGTGCCTAGGCCTTTCCAACCACACTGAAGAAGAATATAGGCAAGTCCATGAGATGCCATGGTCTGTTGGTGCCTGGGCACCCAAACTTCCCCCTTCAATCAGGCAGATGGAGGGAGAAGGAAGATGCAGAAGACAGGCTAAAGACCCTATTATTCTCTCAGAAACTGCACTTTTTTTGTTTTTGGCAGTACTGGAGTTTGAACTCAGGGCCTTATGCTTGCTAGGCAAGTGCTCTACCTCTTGAGCCACTCCGCCAGCCCTCTTTAATGTTGAGAACTTTTGAGTGCTTTTGTTTCCCAGGCTAGCCTCAAACCTTAATCCTTCTGATCTCTACCTCCCGAGTAGCTAGGATTACAGGCATGAGCCACCAGTGCCTAACTGTATAATTTTTTAAATTATTAAGGTATAACTGATATACAGTAAACTGCACACAGACACACATATATAAAATAGTTTGACAACTTGAAAATATGCACATACCTGTGAAACAAATACCATAGTGAGGATTAATGAACATATCTACTACCTGAGTTTCCTGCTGCCTTTTATAATTATTCCCTCCAATTCTCCCACTTCCCATCACCAAGCAACCACTGACTTACAACTATAAAATAGTTAGCATTTTATAGAATTTTGTATAAACATGAACAAACAGTATGCACTCTTATCTGGTTTTGGATTCCATGTTGTATAAATCAAAAGTTCATTCATTGCTGAGGAGTGCTCTGTTGTATGCATTGTACTATAAGTTGCTCATCCATTTACCTGCTGAATTGTTTCCTGTTTTGGATTTTAAGATAAAGGTGTTACGAATATCAGTGTACAAGTATTTGTGTGGACATAAAATTTCATTTATCTTGGGCAAATACATAGGAGTTGAATAGCTAAGTCATGTGGTAACTGACTTAACTTTTAAATTGCTAAACTGTTTTCTGAACTGGTTACACCATTATTTATTCCCACATACAGGATATCAGAGTTCCAGTTCTACGTCCTTGCTAACATTTAGTACAGTTTTTTTTTGGCAGGGGAGTAGGTTTTTTGTTTATTTTGGTTTGTTTTCTTTTTCTTTTTGAGACAGGGTCTCACTATGTGGGCTAGGCTGACTTCAAACTCCTGCCTCAGCCTCCTGAGCTGGGACTACGGACACCTATCACCATGCCCTGTAATACAGTCTTTTTATTCCAAGTGGGCATGAAATGGTATCTGTTTGTGGGTTTTATTTGAATTTTCATAATGATTAACGATATTAAGCATCTTTCTTGTGTGTTCGTGTATCTGTATCTCATTTGTGTAGTGTGTGTTCAAATCTTTTCCCCATGTAAAAAACTGAGTTTTGGAGTTCTAGATACTGTGTTAAGATTTATAACTAAAAATTCAATTTATTTATTTTTGGTGGGACTTGGGTTTGAACTCAGAGCTTCTAGTTTGTAAAGCAGATGCTCTACTGCTTGAGCACACTTCCAGTCCATTTTACTCGGGTTATTTTGGAGATGAGGTCTCACAAACTATTTGCCTCGGCTGGCCTCAAACCTTGATCCTCTGGATCTCAGCCTCCCAAGTAGCTAGGGTTACAGGCATGAGCTTTGTGTGCCCTGTCTAAAATTCAATTTCTTTAACAGATATAGTGCTATCCTGTAACGGGGGTATTTTTTCTTGTGGGTAAACTTTAATACTTCATATCTTTCAAGAATTTGCCCATTTCATATAAGCTATCAAATATACTGTAATAAAGTTGTTCATAATGTCCTGATAATTAATTTTTTAAAATATCTAATGTCATCTAAATGGTGACAAGTTGCACATGAAAAGAATGTCTACTCTCCTGTGGTTTGGAAGAAAGTTTTTGTAAACATCATTGGGTCAAATTGATCAATGGTGTTCAAGACTTCTATAGATTTACTGATTTCCTGTCTACCTGTCCTATCAATTACTGAAAGAAGTATGTTGAAATCTCCAAATAATTCTATAGTTCTATTAGTTTTGTTTCATGGCTTTTTTTCTCCTTTTTTTTTTTAATGTGGTGCTAGGGTTTGAACTCAGGACTTATACCGTAAGTCACTCCACCAGCCCTTTTTTGATAGTTTTTTTGAGATAGGGTCTCATGAACTATTTGCCTGGGCTGTCTTCAAACCGTGATCCTCCTGATCTTTGCCTCCTGAGTAGTTAGGATTACAGGTGTGAGTCACCAGTGCCTGGGGTTTTGAACTCAGGGGCTCTTGCTTGCCAGGTGGCACTCTACCACTTGAGCCACACCTGCCAGCCCTTTTTTGCTTTAGTTATTTTTCAAATAGGGTATGATGTTTTTGCCCAGGCTATCCTGGACAGCAGTCCTTCTATGTCCACCTCCGAAGTAGCTGGAATGACAGGCATGCACCACCATACCCAGTCTATTAGGTTTCATTATTTTATTTTTTATATATAAACTCCTTTTGCCCTCTCCCTGCCTGCTGGTTCCTACCTGCAAACAGTCCCCATTTTTTAAGGTCTAGATTATGTATATGAGAGAGAACATGTGATATTTGTCTTTCTCATTCTTTATGGGTGAATAATATCCCATTTTGTATATATACCACATTTTCTTTATTCATTGTTGATGGGCACCTGGGTTGATTCCACAGTTTGGCTGCTGGGACTAGTGGGATCATATGGTTGTTCTATTTTTAATTTTTTGAGGAACCTCCATATTGATTTGCATAGTAGCTGCACTAATTTACATTTCTACCGATAGTGTATAAGGGGCTTCCCTCCCCAAACGCATCCTTGCCAGCATTTATTGTTTCTTTCCTCCCTTCCTCCGTCCCTTCCTACCTTCCTAGTACTGGGGATTGAACTCAGGGCTTGTCAAGCAGTCACTCTACCACTTGTGCCACTCCACTAGCCCCCTGTTTTCTTGATGAAAGGTATTCTGAGGTGAGATGGAATCCCGATCTTGTTTTGGTTTGCATTTTCTTTATGACTAAGGATGCTAAGCATTTCTTCATGTGTTTATTAGTCATCTGTACTTCTTTTGAGAACTGCCTATTCGATTCATTTGGCCATTTATTAATTGCCTTGTTTGTTCTTTTGGTGTTTAATTTTTGGAGTTCTTGATATATTCTGGATATTAGTTCTTCATCTAATAAATAGCTGGCAAAGATTTTCTCCCATTCTATAGGTTGTTTCTTGATTCTGGTAATTGTTCCCTTTGTTATGCAGAAGCTTTTTACTTTGATGCAATTCCATTTGTCAATTCTTGTTCTTATTTCCTGAGCAATTAGGGTCCTAGTCAGAAAAGCATTACCTATTCCTGTATCTTCAAGGGTTTTTGCAAGTTTCAGTTTCAAGTCTCACATTAAGAGCTTTGATCCATTTTGAATTGACTTTTGTATAGGGTGAGAGATAGAGGAGAGACAGGTATAATTTCTCTTCTACATGTGGATATCCAATTTTCCTAATATCATTTGTTGAAGAAGCTGTCTTTTCTCCAATGTATGTTTTAGCTGTATGGGCTTATTTCTTGATCTATTCTATTCCATTGGTCTACATGTCTTTTTTTTTTTTTTTTAAACTGGGCTGGCCTTGAACCATGATACTCCCAAACTCTGCCTGTGGAGTAGGTAGGGTTACAGGTGTGACCACCACGCCTGACCTTGATACATGTATTTTAAAGCCCTATTAAAAGGTACATGAATGTTGAGAACTACAGACAGTGCCTGACTTACAATGGTTCAACATGATTGTTTGACTTTATAATGGTGGGAAAGCACATCCAGACAGCCAGCCATTCTGTTTTTCACTTTCAGTAACTATTCAAAACATTACATAAGATGATCAACACTTTATAAAATAGGCTATGTGTTAGATGATTTTGTCTAGCTATAAGCTTTCCGAACACATTTAAGGTAGGCTAGGCTAATCTGGATAGGTTATGTTATATTAAGTGCATTTTTTTTTTTTAGCAGTATTGGAATTTGAGCTCAGGGCCTCATGCTTGCTAGGCAGGTGCTTTACCACTTGAGCCACTCTAACAGCCCTTTTTTGTGCTGGATATTTTTGAGATAGGTTCTTGCTTTTTTTTTGGCCCGGCTGACCTCAAACCATGATTCTCCTGACCACTGCCTCCCACAGGTATGAGCCACTAGCACCTGGGTAAATGCAGGTGCTACCTTTACCCACCTTCTGATGAGTTTGTTGGGCTTTTAAGTCCATCGTAAGTTGAAGAGCATCTGTATTTTCATAATGAACTGATCCTTTCACTTTGTAAGTAACTCGGGATAGAACCCAACCATACTCAAACCATAATAGTTGCCAAGGCAGCAAAAGTTTACAGGGAAGAGTATCAGAGAGGGGAGAATTACACACAAGAGAGGAAATTTCTTCAGTAGAATCCCCCTCTACTCTTCAGTTGAATACTGATTAGCTCATTTCTGTGAAGAAATCCTGGGGACATAGTGGCATAGGTAGGAAGATCACAGTCCAAGGTTGGCCCTGGTCAAAAATGTGAGACCCTATTCAAAAGACAACTAAAGGAATATAGGGTTGGGGCTGTGGCTAAAGTGGTAGAGCATTGCCCAAGGCCCTGAGTTCAAATCCTAGTACCACCAAAAGAAAAAAAAGGAGTGGAACTCAAACAATGTCTAATCCTGCTTTCAACTTGTCTGTAGCACTTTCCCTTAGTTTTTCTAAATCACAGGCTACCTTGCTGAAAGGCTAGCCTCAGACTGTGCAAATCTAAAACATTTGTACCTAGTCACCCTGAAGTCAGGATGCCCACATATCAGAATAGAAGATTTCTACCAAAATACTGATTATTATTTACACTTACCTGCTTCATGTCACATGAGCAGTAGTGAAGAAATCGGTGCTGGGTGATATCATGAAACATTTTGTGCAGTTTGGTCCCAAATTCCTTTGTGTCAGCTGCCTAAAATGGGCCAGAGACAGAAGGTGCTGAGTTTCCATAGTGGAAATCAACGGGGAAGTACTCCCAGGAAGTCTAAATGGGGAGAAGATGAGGCAGAAAAGACATTGACATCCCTCACATTGTTTATAATTTCCTTTGTCTCTATGGGATGAACAGAGACAGAAAAAGGACCTTGGTATGCCCTGGTATAAGACAGGCAGTTACAGCTCCCATATGTCTTCACATTTCTGTCATCTAGCAAGATCCTTCAGCCAAGGTCTTTGTTATCCTATGTCTACAGCAGATAAATATCCTAGAGATGCATTTCATGAAGAGGTTATATAAACAGCTCTTCTATTAAACAAATACCAAGAATGTAGAGGCTCCATTGAGCCACTAAGGCTAACATGAAAGCTATTTCTCAGACAAGCCTTTTGGAGAAGAGAGGAACCAAAGAGTATAACTGCACCCATGGAAATGGGAACCAGTCTTCGATACTTTAAATATATAATTACAGGATAATTAGAGCTAAAGGGGACCAGAGTAATCACCTAATATAACATGCTAATTTTATAGATGAGAAAACTGACATTCAAAAAGAAATGACCAACCCAAGATCAGGCTTCTTCTTACTACCCTGTGTTATCTACATGATCCAGAAAGGTGAAACTATGATAAAATGTACTTGTTGATAAAGGCATAATACTCTTTGACCCAATAACTCTACTTATAGAAATTTATTCTAGGAAATAATTCAAAATAGGCAAGATATCACATAAGGTATTAAACGAAGCACTATTTATATGAGCAAAAAACATTATTACCAACTTAAATGTCTTAACATTAGCAGAATGCTTTATTAAATTAGATTAAAATAATACAGTTGGATATTGATTAACCAAAACAAAATTCTAAGCATGTTGAAACAGGAAAATGTCAAATTACATTTAAAATAGAATGCCTTGGTCATAATTATATATTCTTTTTTTGTGTGGGACCAGAGTTTGAACTCAGGGCTTCACATTTGCAAACCAGGCATTCTACCACTTGAGCCACACCTCAAGTCCTGCTTATAACATATAATATATATATATATATATATATATATATATATATATATATATATATATGAGATAGCATGCAAAAATGAAAATTACAGTATTAAAAATTATTTACATTTTTCTGTGCTATCTTTTCAAGAGAAAAAATGCATAAAAATGTAGTAATAGGGCTGGGGACCTGTTTCAAGTGGTAGAGTGCCTGCCTAGCGAGCTCAGGCCCTGAGCTCAAACCCCATTACTGCAAAAAGAAACATGGAATGAATATGTTACTCACTGATAATATCAATTACTTAGCAGACATTCCTAAGTGGAAGGAAGAAGCTAACATTTACTGAGACTCTAACATGTGCTATGTACTTTCACATTGTCCTGGTTTGTTTGGACTGCTGTAACAAATTACCATAAACAAGGTGGCTTATAAAAAATAGAAATTGCTGGGCACCAGTGGTTTACACTTGTAATCCTAGCTACTTGAGAGGCTAAGATCAGGAGGATTGCAGTTCAAGGCCAGCCCAGGCAAATACTTCACTAGATCCCATCTCTAAAATAACCAGAGCAAAATTGACTGGAGATGTGGCTCAATCAGTCGAGTGCCTGCTTTGCAATCCTGAAGCCTTGAATTCAAATCTTAGTCCCACCTCCCACCCCACCCCCAAAAATTAGAAATTTAGTTTTCATAATTCCGGAGACTAGAAGTCTGAGGTCAAGCAGCTAGCACAGTTGGGTTCTGGTGAGGGCCTCTTCAGGGTTGTGGGCTGCCTATCTCTCCCAGTGTCCTGACATGCCAAAAGGGGCAAGAGTCTCTATTGGCCGCTTTTATTAAGGACAGTAATCTCATACATGAAGATAGAGCCTAAAGTCATCAACTTGGGGGTTAGGATTTCAACATATGAATTTTGAGGATATAAAAATATTCACACTATAGCATACACTTAGCCCTCATCCTGTGATGCTCTATAATATTTTTCAATTTTTAGATAAGGCTCAGAGAGGTTAAATATAGGCATAAGTTTACTTAGAACCCAAACCTCTGATTCCAAAACTCTGTACCACTCCATACTGTCACATTTGTGTAATACTTAGGGTTTGCTCAGATATTTCCAGTGTATTCTGTTGCTATGTGGTAGCAGAGCATTCTTTAACAAGGAATTGGGAATTACAAATCTAATCCTAGCTCAGTCTTAACTACCTATGTTACCTAAGGGAAATACAAATCTTAAATAAATTTTCTCATTTATAAAATATTGTATACACTACTATTCATTTAAAAAACACTTTTTTTTTATTACCAGGGCTTGAACTCAGGGCCTACACCTTGAACCTTTTTTTGTGTTAGGTATTTTCAAGATAGGGTCTCAAGAACTATTTGGCAGGGGCTGGCTTTGAACCACGATCCTCCTGATCACTGCCTCCTGGGTAGCTAGAATTACAGGCATGAGCTACCAGCGCCTGGCTCAACAATCTTAAAACACTTAGACCTTATGTAGGATCACATTAGAAACAAATGAAATAATGTTTCTAAAAGCATTGTGCATATTACAAAGATATGTACTGGAATGTCTTTAAAACCATGGCATCCCCAATCTCCTACCAACCTGAAAGGCCTGGAAACATGTTTTTCGGAAGCTACTGCTGGTGCTTGCAGTCACAACACTTATGATAGAATTCACAGCCACTGAGAGTGAGGTCTGCAGTTTCTGATAAGCCTGGGGAACAGAACTACTGAGTCAGAGAATCCCAAAGGAGACAAAGATTTCAGTCACAACAGATATCAACAGTCCTCCCTCCCACCAATTATACTTACTAAGATCACGACTTATCTTTATATCATGACCCTGAGGGATTAAAGTAAAAATTTAAAATGTTCTCTCCTTCCGTAGAGATGACTTATTGATACACACTCAGAAAAGACAAGTAGTAAGACAGTGGGCAATAAAATAGATACACTTAACTGTTTTTTTACAAAGCTGTAAGTTTGCTCTTAAGATGGCTGTTTTTCTCTCTGAAAAGAGGGGGCCATATGAAGTAAGAAATGTGTTACTAAAAGTACACATGATGGGGGAATCCAGAAAGTCAGCTAAAAAGAGAATGTGGTATTATAAAGAATTAGGAAAATGGGGGAAGAAGATAAGGTTTAGTGAAGCAGCAGCTCAAGGGATATGGGACAGGGAGATGGATAGTCAAGGAAAAGGTGTTGTATTATTTTTCTGTATTATTTCTGTCCCTATTTAGTCAAACCTCCTACTTGGTAAGACTAAGCAAACAGTGGCCCATCTAAGTGAAATCCTAAATTCCTAGTCTATAGTGTTACAATATCACCCAAAGTGGCAGAAGAAGAAAGGACAGAACATTAAGGGAGAAGAGGGTCTGAGGCTCTATGGCTATATACTCTGTTTTTCTTAGAAAGTAGGAGAAAGGGAATTGTGAATTTCTTATTACCTGGGAAGCCTGGTAATGCTGCTTCAAGACCTGGTCCACGGTAAACTGGATGGAATCTTGTACCACACTGTGGCTTTCCACCAGGATGGCACTGAGATGAGTTGTGAGCCAAGTATGGATTCCTAAAAGGACAGAGAATATTGGTAAGCCTGAGTAAGGATGACTATTTCAAGACAGAGTTCATATCCTCTGAGTCAGGGCTGGGATTGGAGAAGATGCTTCTGGGAAGAAGTCACTACTTTTACCTATCCAGAAATAATTACTTTTTTATTTGTCTTAAAAAAAGTAATTATTCAAGATTCCATTCAGTTTACCTTGTACCAGGTCTTGAAGCAGCATCACCAGGCTTCCCAGGTAATAAGAAATTCACAATTCCCTTTCTCCTACTTTCTAAGAAAAACAGAATATACATCCATAGAGCCTCAGACCCTCTTCTCCCTTAATGTCCTGTCCTTTCCTCTTCTGCCACTTGGGGTAATACTTTAGACAAAAAAAGTAATTATTTACTCCCTGTCCCCTCCCCCAAATTCCCACTTACAAATGGAAGCAAGCTCAGGAAAATTAAAGTGAAGAATTATTTCTTGACATTACTGGGGTTTGAACTCAGGGTTTTGTACTTGTTAGCAGACACTCCACTGCTTGAGCCATGCCCCAGCCCTTTTGGCTCCAGTTATTTTTGGCCAGGCTGGCCTGGACCATGATCCTCCTATTTTTGCTTTCTGCTGTTGCTGGGATGACAGGCACATGTCCCTAACCCGGCTTTTTTCTGTTGAAATCTTGAGAACTTACTTTGTCTGGTCTGGCCTAGGTCCTCCCCATTTCAGACAGGCACATGTCCCTAACCTGGCTTTTTTCTGTTGAAATCTTGTGAACTTACTTCGTCTGGTCTGTCCTAGATCCTCCCCATTTCAGCTTGGGATGACAGGCATGTGCCACTGCACTCAGCTATTGGCTGAGATGGGGTCTTGTGAACTTTTTGCCTGGGATGGCCTTGAACCACAGTCTTAACGATTTCAGCTTCCAAGTAGCTAGGTTTATGGGGTGAGTCACCAAATTACATTCTTTTTGAAGAAACAAATGAGGAATCCAGCTTAACTCCACTATAAACAATAATTCTGGTAACTTTCAAAGGAAAGGAGAAGGGGAGAGAGAAGGTATGATTAACCATCCTCCTCTTCTACTTAAGCATCACTGTTGAGGTGAGCCACTGTTACCAACAGTGTGTCATTTCTTTCAGATGTGCTTTGGTAAAGGAAAGCTTAAAACTTACAAAGATGACTCAGAACTGTTGGCATAAGGCTCTTTAAAATGAGGGATGTTCTCTGCTAAAGTAACTACAGGCACTCCTGCTTAACAGCTCTCAAAGAAGCTGACATGTGACAGCAAAAGGCAAAAATATATCATCAAACAATAGTCTACTACATTATGATCCTTGTGCAGGAGACAGAAAGACACTTTACAGAGCACCTGGAGAAAATGTTTCTGAAGGAGTATGTTTTCAGTGTTTCTCTTCTCTCCTCTGGATAGTCTGTTCAAAGATACGATGATGAAACAGCCTGAGGCTAGCTGTCTTTTCTTAGGACTGCATTAAAAATGCAGGCCAGAAGGAACATACCCTACCACCAAGCACCATGATACTTTCTAGTAGAGAAGGTTATATGTGGACTCAAAAGGACTCGGGAACTAGACGTAAGAGAACATAGATTTAGGGTTGATTCTACCACCAATTAGTGGTGACCAGATCACTTGTCTCATTTCAGGACAGAAAATGGCTTTATCCTATCTGCCTTCTCAGATATGTTGTACAGATAAACTGGGAAATATAAATAAAGTATTTTGAAATGTATATGCATTCAAATATTACAGTTGTAATGATGATACAGCCTGTGGATTGCTATTTTGTACCATTTGGCCCTAAGAAGAGCCTCAAGAATCAGATCCCTTTTGAAAGCAGACATTTAATTAAAAAGCCAAAATTCATTCCTAAAACTGCTGATACCACCAGATACTTCTGATGTAGCAAGGTAACAAGTTAATCATGGAAAAGTTACCATGACAGGGTGGGCAGAAGACCAGTTAAGTGATTTTTTTCTTAAAGACACATGGAAACAGACTATAACGTTGCACAATCTATTTCCTAAAAGAAGGTGCTCTGGCAAAAGCTTTCAAGGACATAAGAATGGGAAAAGACAGGTAAAATTACTTTATCTCCAGCTACTTTCTTTCACTGTACATCTCTTCAGAGGCTAGTCCTAAACTACCAGATGTGTAAGATTTAAAAAGACACTTGCTATGTTATAAACAGTGATGAATTTCTTTTTAATCCAAAACTAAGTACTATTACTGAGATGCTGCAGACCTCAGAGTCCTGTTCAATAGAGATGCATAAATTATCACAGTATTACAAGACTGACAGATAACACTGTTTCTGAGGAATCTGAGTTTTTTAGGTATGTTCACTAACACTCATAACGAGTCAGGCTTGCATTATCCTAGGGTTATCCTCTAGCAGACCTCTAGCCAGAAGGTAACAGACTTAAGAGTCTGAAGAGGGTATTAACCCCTGGGAGGGCCTTTAATATTACCTAGCCTAAAACCTCAAAGATATGAAAAGTGAGGCTCAGACAGTTTAAGTGACTTGCTTCCCAAACATCATTGAGGAAGTTGATAATCAATCTAAAATTAAACTCAGCTCTCTTAATTCAACCCTGAAATCCTCCCGGTTCATTTCTCTTATCAGCTTTTGTCTTTGTGTGCATAGACCAGGCAACAGACCCAAAAATCCTCACTGAGCCCCCTGCTTTCTACAGCCTCATTACTCTGGGTCTCTTCTATTTCCCATTCCCTGGCCTGCTTTTTTTATTTTTTTTTTGGTGTGTGTGGTGTGTGTGTGTGTGTGTGTGTGTGTGTGTGTGACTGGGGGTTTGGACTCAGGGCTTCATGTTTGCAAAGTAGGCACTCTACTGCTTGAGCCACAACTCCAGTTCATTTTGCTGTGGTTATTTTTGATATGGGATCTCACAAACTATTTACCTGTTCTATTCCCTGGCCTTAATCAATGGAATAGGGGCACCAAAGAATACCATTAAGCCTGAGCCCAGAAAAGCAGTGCTTCCCTCTCAGATAATATACACATTGGGAAAAGGAAGGAGAGCTTGGAAAGCAGGCAGCAGAAAGAATCTCACAGCTCACAGTAACAAATAATTGGCGCCATCTCTTGTAGGTGTTTTGAATAAGGTCTCGTGTACAAATTACTGGTGCAGGTCAACAAGAGTGCTTCTGATCTGGGGTTGTAGTGGTCCCATTTTTCTCATATGCAGTGGGAACAGTTCCACAAAGAACAGCAGGCCCCATGAAAACACATTGGTCCACAGACAAAGGAACACCAAAAGGAAGGTTATGAACCTTTCCACAAACATGCATAAGCCCCTCTTCTCATAACTTCCCTCAAAGTTGAAAATGACCTTGAAAAACTCATTAAATTTATGTCCCAGGGTTTGTTGGATTAAAACACATGAACCAACCCCCACGAACACTTCCAAACTTTACTATATTGGAGAATCACTTGAAAATCTTGTAGAAAATGCAGACTCTTGGGCCACACCTGACTTGTACATTATAGCAAAAGAATGAATTAATCTTAGCCCGGGAAGCTGCACATTTTCAAATGATTTTTTTTTTATGGGACTGGAGTTTGAACTCAGAGTTTCACACTTGCAAAGCAGGCACTTTACCTTGAGTCACACCTCCAGTTCATTTTGCTCTGGCTATTTTGGAGATGGGGTCTGGTGAACTATTTGCCCAGACTGGCCTCACATGGCAATCCTGTCAGTTTCAGCCTCCCAGATAGCTAGGATTACAGACATGAGCCACCAGCACCCAGCTTGATCTAGGTGATTTTGATGAATGTGCTTCACAAACCACAAAGTGAAACCACTGCTTTACCTCTAACAGAACCTTTCTGATAACAGATTATCTAATAGATACATGTCAGAGCCTTCCTACTTGCACACCTGCACAAGGGCAAACTAATGTTCTTTATTCCATCTAGAAAGACAACATGGTGATAGAAAGTTCTCAAGCCTAGCTGCACATGAGAATCGCCTAGAAAGCTTTAAAAATATACTGGAGTGGATGTGGCTCAGTGGCAGAGTGTGTGCTTAGGATACCCCAGGTTCTGGGTTCAATCCTAACACCAAAAAAAGTACAGAGATGTGAGCCCCACTCAGTCCAAGAAAATCAGAATCTCTGAGGATGAGGTTTGGGCACTTTAAAGCTCTCCAGGGAATTTATTGTGCAACAGGTTGAGAGTCACTGATCTCCCAAGAGAGCAGTCTAGAAATGTCTACTGACTTCTCACCAACCAAATCTAGGAATGTCATCATTTAAGTGATCCATCAACATACAGATCTTTGCTGGGCATGATGATGCAAGGCTGTAATCCTAGCTACTCTAGAGCTGGAGACCAGAAGGATCATGACCCAGGCCAGCCCAGGCAAAAAGTTTGCAAGATGTCATCTTAACCAATGGCTGGACAAGGTGGCATGTGTCTGTCATCCTAGCTATGAAGAGAAGCACAAATAGGAGGATCACAATCCAAACATAAAATGAAATCATATCTCAAAAATAACAAACATGTACACACTAAAAGGGATGATGGAGTGGCTCAAGTGGTAGAGCACCTGCTTATCAAGCATGAGGCCCTGAATTCAAACCCCAGTACCGCATTTACATACAGTATATACATACATGTAATTTGCTTAAGTTTGTTAAGCAAAGTTTTTCACTGGAAAACTTTTGTTTTATATAAGTATATCTATTTCAGATATACTTGTGCATTATATATTATATTATATATTCATATATGTATGCATTATACATATTGCTCACTCTTTATCCTCTTAGCATTTGGTACACCCAAATTGAGGGTTGAATTCCCTTTATACCTACCCCAGATTTCCTCTCGGTGAACTGGAAGTCCACTGTGAAAATCCACAAAGAGGAAAAGTAGCAGAGTTGGTCCCTGAGGGTCCATATTCTGAGACTGATTTCCCTCACTGGATTCAACCTGATAACTGACATCAGGGAGCATAAAATCTAAAGGACAAGATGCAAGACAATTTTCTAAGGTAAGCAAAGCCCTCAGAATGTTAAGTGACTAAAGAACCTATGTCCTCAGCATATAGGAATAGATCTAAACTTGAGCATTCAGCTGGGTGTGGTGGTCATGCTGTAGTTCCAGCACTCAGGAGAATGATCCAAGATGATCGAGAGAGTTTGTGACCAGCCTGGGCTACACAGTGAGACCCTGTGTAAAAACATAAATAAATAAATGCTTCTTCAGAAGGAAGGAATATTAAAAGCACCCTGAGTCAAGATGAGTGGGAAACCATCCTAATAAACACATTTTGGATTTAAAAAATTAAAACGAAAAATAAATTTGAATATTCGGTCTACCCCTGAACTTGTTTCTCTATCCACATGATGGAAACTAGTAATAGTAACCCATGGGAGTATAAAGCAACAACTGGATGTGTAAAACACAAACCCAATAGCACTCCTTTGCATTTACTGGGAAGCATTACACAATAAATTCATTTATTTCTTACTCAACTTTCTAAGGCAGGTAAAGCTAGTTAGAGGCTGAGGTCAGATTTAAACCTGAATAATGATAATGAGAGCAGCTAACTTGTAACAGGTGATTTGTGCTGTTCACCAGGTGTCATATTAAACTAACATTTAGACTATACATAACCCTCCTGGTAGACCTATTCTTATTACTTCTCACAGAGAAGAAAAGGGGTGCAGACAGGTTAAATACCTTGCCCAGCGTGAGCTGGTAAAAGGTGAAACAGACGTAGACCATGCCAGACTGACTCCAAAAACTGCTATGCTTTTAGCCCCAATATTATGTGAAGCTTGTATTATAGGGCCTATCTTCACTTTCTGTCAGAATGATCATTTAGAATGCTGTCAATATAATCCCACATTCCAGAGCTGTACAGAGAAGTACTTTCATGTGGATCCTGGTTCTTAGAGAAATGAAGGTGGGAGATGAGGGGATGTTTTCTACATTATTCATTTCCTAAGTTAATTGAGCAAGTTCAGGCATTGTAAATTGGAAGAAAAAAAAAAGGAAACCATCAAGTCTGAAAATAAAAAATGAAAGAGACATAGAAACCCCTAGAAATTTACCAAGGTCTGCCCTCTATTCAAGATACCAACAGCATAACATCTCACCTGTTAAGACCAAATATTGTTTCCTTGCAAAACTACTTACATCCAGAGACCCAAGGACACTTCCTCTCATCCCATCCTCTAGAATAACTACACACTCAAGACTAAAAGAGCCTTCTCTGGAGGCTCACTTCTGAGGTAGAGATTCTATCATTTGCCTCACCCCCGCCGCCGACACACACACCTCTTAGACACTGCCCTGTCCCAGAAAGCTTCAGTCTTCTCATACCAATCCTTACTCTAGAACACCTCTTCCCCACTGGTCATCTTTCTTAGGTCCAAATGACCAGATTACCCTCCAAGTTTCAAAGGAATCTAGCTAACAACTGTCAAGCTCAGAATTATAAGCCTAATAGACATAAGCCATGGTTGCATAGTCCTATTTCCCAGTTTTATTTATTGGTTTAGTTATTTGCCATCCAACTTTTAGTATAACTCACCCAAAGTTAATCTGGTTAGGCCCTTCATGACTAACACGGCTTCCTAGATTTAATGCTATTTTATCTGGCATTTACATTGAGTTTTAATTTTTTTTCTAAGTAATTTTATTTATGCTTCCTCATTTCCTTAGGAAGCACTTCTCTTCCACAACAGCTCATGGTAGTCATTGTCAGCTGCCCCAAACTGACAAATTAAGGTACAACAGAAACCTTCTGAACAAGTCCCTAGAAAAAGGAACAGGAGTAGAGGCAGCAGAAGTAAGAGGAGAACCAGAATCAAGCTGCAATGCCAAAACAGTTAGTCTCTGATTAAGCTTTGCCTATGTGATGCATTAGCCTCATTCCAAGTGGACTCTCAAACTTGGCCAAACCCCTACCCCCTAACCAAGCCATAAGATCATCGGGTCCTATTTTTACATACATCTTCTATTTATATTCCTTCATTTCTCAAATATTCTTCAGGTTTCTTCATTTCTGTGCAAAAAGAAGATATACCTCTATCCAAATTGAGATCCAAATTGGGCACCACACACAAGTGATATTTTTTCCAGTCTATGAAGTAAGAGGTGTCTTTGAAGACAGAGGTACTTGGCTGCTCCCAACTTGGCAATATCAGAGGCAGACCCAAAGGTCCATATAGAAATATGTACAGTAGCTAAAGAAAACTGCCAAATTTTAGTTTCTTATGACTATGCATTCACTGTATAAAACAACATAACACCATGTGGTTCACCCTCCCAGAAATAAACAAGTGTCTATAAAATTACATGTTAATAAGCCTTTTCTACACTGAGGGCAAGTGTGAAGCACCAGAGATAGATCCACTGGGATCCTTGGAAGTTTATCTAGATTTAATGAATGCAAGATGCAGGTAAAATATTACAACAGTTTACTTACTCATCTTATTCATCTGATCATTGCTTTGAGTTGTACCACAGGCTAAGCACTGTGCTAAGTTCTAGGGGTAAAAAATGAATATCTAGATTTATTATCTGTCAACTTTACCATATTTATAGTATGGAAGACAGATATAAACCCAGCAAACTGTAATACAATGTAATAGAAGTATATAAAAAGAAACATTTTCTAGGAAGTACTTGAGTACATTTGTCCAACTAAGACAAAGGAAGGTAGGGCTCTGAAATGTTTCCTTCTCTGGACTTTTGCTTCCTACTCTCACTCTCCAAATCGGGGTTTCTCAACACCAGCACTACTGACACTCGTGGAAGGGGCTGTCCTGTATACTGTAGGATGTTTAACAGCATCCCTGGCCTCTACCCACTAGATGCTGATAGCACCCCTGCTAACACAAACCCCTCCACAACAATCAAAAATGTCCCCAGACACTGCCAAATATCCTCAGAGGGCAAAAACACTCATTAAAAACCACAGCCTATCCTTTTTTTGTTTTTGTTTTTGTTTTTGTTTTGGGGTTTTTTTTTGCCTCCTGAAACAAGGCTAAAGAGACCAGGATTTTTTTTTCTTAATGTGTTTTCACTTTATGTAGTTTCTATCATTGTTTTCATGGTAAACATAAGGCATTCAGAGTAAGCATAAGGCATTAAGTTTGCCATTTTCAGAAACTGAAATCCTGCCAGAGTTTTCAGTTCTATGTCTTCATTAAAATATTATTCCGGTGTGGGGCACAGTGGTTCACACCTATAATCCTAGCTACTTGGGAGGCAGAGATTGGAAGGATCATCCAAAGCCAGCCCAGGCAAAAAGTTTGAGAGACCCCCATTTCAATCAATAAAAGCTGGATGTAGTGGTACCCAACTGTCATCCCAGCAACACAGGGAGCATAAATAGGAGGATCATGGTCCAGGCTGGCCCAGGCATAAATGCAACACCCTATTTGAAAAATACCTACAGGAAAAGGAGTTGAGGGTATGACAAAAGAGATAGAGCACCTGCCTGGCAACTACAAGGCCCTAGTTCAAACCCCAGTCCTTCCAAAAAAAACACATCACCTCAGGGCCAGGCCTGGTGGACATCCCTGTAATCCCTGCTATTCAAGAGGAAGGAATAGGAGGACTGTGGTTGGAGACCAGCCTGAGCAAAAAAGTTATCAAGATCCTATTTCAAAAAAAAGTGGGGGAAAAGCTGGACATGCAATCCCAGCTACTTAGGAGGTGGAGGAAGGAATATGAACATACAGGGTCAGCCCTAGACAAAAATGAGAGCCCCTATCTGAAAAATAAACTAAAAAAAGGGCTGAGGCCAGGTGTGGCTCAAATGTTACAGTACTTGCTGCCCTGAGTTCCAGCTTCATAACCATGAATGGAGGGTGGGTGGTAATATCACCTCATCAGAGTCTTTGCTGACCATATTTAAAGTAACATTCCCATCATTCTAAAACTGCCCACCTATTTAATTCACTTATCACTACCTAATACTTGATATTTGTTAAATTTTCCCACTAAAATGGATAGGAAGAAAAATTTTCTGTCTTATTTCTTCTAGAAAATGGAGTGAGGAGGAAGAGGAAACTTTTATTCTTTATACCCTTCTGTAACTATCTAGATAGTAAGGCATGATTTAAAATATAATATGCCATACAGTTTTTTTCTGTTCTGCTCCTTCCTCCTCCCTAAAAGATACTATTAGCTGACATCAATCATATCATGCATCTTCTGTTCTTGTCTTTTACACTGTTCTATACCTTAATTTACTCCTATATAATCATATAACAACATATATATAGTATATAGTTAGTTTTCGGGATTTTTTGTTTGTTTGTTTGTTTGTGGTACTAGGGTTTGAACTCACAGCCTCAAGTTTGAACTATGCCCTAAACCTGGGCACTCTACCTTTTTGAGTCACTTTACCAGCCCATAATAACTAAATTTATTGAGCACTTACTATGTGTCAGAAAGTATGGCAGGGGCTTCACATAGTTATTTCTAAAAAACAAACAACCCCCTAAAGAACAACAAAACCTTAGGAGGAAAAAATAAACAACTGTATGAAATACTATTATCTCCATTTTAAAGCTAAGGAAATAAAGAGTTAGGCTGATAAAGTCAGTTGCCTCCATCACACAGCTCATTAGTAATAAAGCAGCATTTATACTCCCGTACCATGCTTTCAGCATAGCACTACAATACATTTATGTATGGGATAAAATAAGATTCCATAAATCTTTATCTCTAAATCTAACTACTTCCATCTTACAGACTTTATCTACACAGTTGCTTGCTATCATAAAGGATGTCCTGCAGGCACCATTAACTTAACATGTTCAAGATAAACTTATCTTCTCTATTCCTCAGATCTGCTATTAATGTTTTGTATTTTGCTGACAGCATCATTACTCAGCCATCCATGGAAATTATTTTTTAAGATTTTAAATTAACAGTTTCATTTAAGAAAATTTACATATCATACAATTCAGCCATTTTAAATGCATAACCAAATGGATTTTAGTATATTCAAAGAGTTGGGCAGCCACTAACATACTCAATTTTAGATTTTCAGTATCCCAAAAAGGTTCCCCCATCTACTCTTTGCCACTATAGATTTGACCATTCTGGATATAGAAATATTGTGTGTGTGTGTGTGTGTGTGTGTTACTGGATTTTGATCTCAAGGCCTTATGCTTGCTAGGCAGACATTCCCGCAGCCCAACACAGAAACCTTGACATCAACTTTAGCCATTCCTTGTCCCAACTCTCTGAACTGCAGTAACTAATTGTATATCTCAATACCTTGATTCCTTCTAGTGGTAAGGAATCAATGTAATTGCCTGTCTCTGCCTACTGCACTTTTAATTCAGGTACTTACTAGCTCTTAACCCAGTTCATTTACTTATTTATCTAGTAATTACTAACTGTTGTCTCTCATCCTGCACAATGCTGTGAGATACTCCTGCCAAAGCATTTGATGGTTTCCCATTATACAGAGAATAAAGGACAGGCTCCTGAGTGTGACCCTCAAGATCTACCACATTCAACTCCAACTATTTTTCAGCCTCATCTCCTTTTTTTTTTTTTTGAGACAGGGTCTTGCTATGTAGCCCCTAGGCTGGCCTTGAATTAAAAATCTTCTGTCTTTCCTCCTGAATACATTTCTCCTTGCACCATCCATTTCATACTTCAGTCATATTAACTAATATGAAAAATGTATCATATTTTGTAGTTTTCAGTTTCCTGGCAAAATTTTCAAACTTAGTTTTTATATTGACTTACATGCTTTTATACAAATCAAATATGCTTCTAGATAAAGGATTCACATAAAAAGGCTTCCCTAAAATTGGAATATAAAAACCCATCTTCAAAACGGCAATTGTATGGAACATGTCATTAAAAGGATATGGAAACTGAAGAAATCCTGTTCAGCTGGCTGGAAAAGACCTTTGGGCTGGGGCATAGAGCAGCAGCTGGAGTCAGTATGAGTTCTCCCAAGAAGTCCATGCTAGCCATGTCATCAGGAATGAAAAGTGTTACTGGATGTCCTAGCACAGGGTGAATTCTGCTGCAGTGTACTTCAGCTGTACTGAATTTTTGTCTACTGTCAAAAAAGACAAGACAAATTAAATTTTTTCCCCTCTTAAGAAATCACTTAACAGGGCTTTCCAAATTCCTTTTATAACTACTCTAGCATATGCATAACCACATAACCCACAATACCAGTTTTGTTGGCAAAAGTAACTTCTTTCTCACTTAAGGAATCATAGTAATGGGCAGAGTAGAAAAACTGACATTTCAGAGATATCATGGCTCTTGATTTTTGCTGTCTCTAATGGAAATTTCCTATTCTCAAAAGTGTATTTCCTCCACCAAAATTACTGTAATATTCCAAGAAGTTTCTGAGATCATTCAAAGATCAGCATTGTATAATGAATGGGGTCCATGAGTCACAAATGGCCTAAAACTGGGCCCATGATACTTAGAAGACTGCTCTCACACATGTACCTTCCCTTGCACAGATTTGTGGTTACTATTTAATAGAAGTAATGAGGAAAAATTAGGCTATCATTCTTTCCAAGAAAGAATCTAGTGGAATTTTCTGTTTGCTTACTTTCCAAAAACTCTTTTCTAAACAGAAGAAATACTCTAAACTCTTTCCTCTCCCTCTAATCAGGTCACCCAAGGAAACATGTCCTCAGGCATTGGTTCAGAGGCTTAAACTCTTGGCAGTAAAGTTATGATAATCAGTTGTTCATCTCTAGGGACTAGACAGTGCTACAGGATTTTTTTTTTAATTGTGTTTTCTTTTGTTTGTTGGTTTGGTTGGCTGGTTTCTGGAGGTCTCAGGGTTGAGCTCAGGGCCTTGTGCTTGCTAGGCAGGCTCTCTACCATTTGAGCCATACCCCCGGTCTTGCTTTATACCTGGGCTGTCCTGGACCACAATCAAAATATCACATATATTTATGCTGGTATAACAGGTGTATACCACCATGTCCAGCTTTTTTTTTTTTTTTTTGCACTGTGGTTTGAACTCAGGGCTTTGTGCTTGCAAAGCAGGTGCTACAGCTTAAGCCACACCTCCATTTTGTTCTAGCTATTTTGGAGATGGAGAATCTCAAAAACTATTTGCCTGGGCTGGCCCTGAACTACAATCCTCCTGATTTCGGCTTCCCAAGTAGCTAGATTGCAGGCATGAGCCACCAGTCCCCAGTGAGCCCAGGAGTTTTTGAGATCAGCCTGGGCAACATAGTGAGACTCTTTCAAAAAAAAGAAAAGAAATGACGAGTCAGACTATTTTCAACTTCTGCCTACATTCATACACATAACAGGAGCAAAACACAGAAAGGGATAACAATGCTTTTGCCTTCACCTCACATAATGCTGATAGTTTACGACAAGAGCAATTCCATTCAACAGGTTCAAAGTGGGTTCATTCTCTACCCTGCAAAACAAACAAAAGCTATGCCATCTCTCAAGTCAATGTCTGTTTGGGACAAATTTTAGTCATGATTACTACCACATCAGAGATTACTAAAATGCAGTAACCAAATAATAAAAAGGACAAAGTCAATTTTTAAGTTCACCCTCTCTAGTGAAGGGGTAAAACATGAAAAGTTTCGATGAATTTACTCATTAAAAGGATGTGAGGGCCTCGGAAAATTAGTTTTTAGGTGACTTGCTCAAGAAACCAATCTAAACCTATTGAAAATAGGACAGTAATCCCTGAGAAACATTGCAGAGCCATAACATCACCTTAAGCCATGGACTTACCCAAAGATCTCTGTGGAGAGAATTCCATTTATCCTTAACATTGAAATTAAATCTGATCTGGAAAACAATAAATGAGATGTGAAACTTTACAAGGCACTATAGAGATGAAACCCTAACCCCTAAAGGAAAAGGATATTCTTTACTTTAAAATTAATATGATTTTAACTGGGAAATCATAATTATATATATTAATGAGGTACAATGTGATTTTTTAAATTTTTATTGTTTTAGTATTCATATGTGCATACAATGCTTGGGTCATTTCTCCCCACAATGTGATATTTTGATATACGTATATAATATGGAATGATAAATCAAGCTGATTAACATATCCATCACCTAACTTACTTATTTTTTTGTGGTGAGACATTTGGCATTTACTTTCTTGGCTATTCTGAAATATATAATACAATTTTATTAACTATAGTCACTCTGCTGTGCAATTATATAGATTCAGCTTGACATGAGTGTGGTCATCTTGAGTCATAAATGCCATGAATGCCCCAGAGTAACCCTAGTTGGTTTTTCCTGAATCTTCTCCCAGAAAACTATAATAGGCTAAAAAAAAAAAAAATTTAAGCCATACACGTAGCTTTACAACTGGCCCCTGGCCCCAGGGATGTGCCTGACTCTTTGATATTATCTTAAGGTAAACCAGGTACATTCCAGCTAGGAAGAAGTCACTTTGTCCTAACTCATATATCTGTCCCTTTGTGACCCAAATTGTGGGGATCTAACTGGTTTTTACTGTTACCCAGGACCATACTTCTGTCCAGTAAGTCCCTCAATAAACTGTACTCTACACAATCTTTTTTTTTTTTCTCAGTTTTAGGTTTTGAACTCAGGGCCTCACACTTGCTAGGCAGTTGCTCTACCACTTGAGCCACTCTGCCAGCCCTTTTTTTGTGTTGGGTATTTTCAAAACAGGATCTTATGAACTGTTTGCCTGGGCAGGCTTCAAACTGTGATCCTCCTGATCTCTGTCTCCCAAGTAGCTAGTATTACAGGCATGAGCCACTGGCACCTGGCTATACTGTATACAATCTTAGATTTGTCTCCTTTTCTTTCTTCAATTTCACAGCATGTTGGGTCCAGTTCTCATACACTAGGACTGTGTTGTTACAGAACAGCAATAGATCCCCAAAACTTATTCTTCTTGTCTAGATGAAACTTTGTATCCCTTGACCCTATTCCCTCCTCTAGCCATCCTCCAGCCTCTGATAACCACCATTCTTTTCTCTACTTCTATGAATTCCACTTTTTTAGATTCCACACATAAGTGAGATCATGCCATACTTGATTTTCTGTGCCTGGCTCATTTGAATGGATAAAGAAAGTGTGGTATGTATACACAATGGAAAACTATCCTTAAAGAAGGAAATCCCTTGCAACAAAATGGATGAACCTGGAGAAAAAGGATATTTTTTATAATTTTTTTCATTTGTACTTTTATTAAACATAATATTTGCCTGTGCCAAATTCCGAGTTGTAAATATATTGAGTCCTATACTACATTTGTAGGTGGTCTCAAATTACCAAGAAAGGCCCCTTTGCCTTTCTATCCCTTCTCTTTTTAAAGGAACTACCAATTTTATTTCTGTGTTCTGAAAAGTAACACAGTGAATGCTCAAATATCAAGAGAGTTTAAGGTAAAAAGTGGTTGGGGGTTTAGGATGAGTGTTCTCCTTTGTTGTGACACCTGGTACACTCAATCCTTCTTTCTGTTACACTATGTTGATATTTTAAGTGGCTCCTGCAGAAATTAAGTGTGGTTAGTTTACAAAATTCAGGTGGCTGTGGCATTGAGGTCTGTTTTCATTGAATACTCTTTAAATAAAGGATGGGTTTATCATTCTGTGCTTTTGCCTTTGCTTTGTCTTCTCTCCAATTTATACCATTATTCTAATTATTCCCTACCTTCAATTTATAGTCTCTTTGCTACGTAACATAAGATCACAAGAGACTCTAGAGCCAGGTTGCCTGGGTTCAAATCCTTACACTGCAAGTTACTCAACCTCTGAATGATAGTTTTCTCAGCTAGAAAACAGGGATGATGATGACAAAATCTACTTCATAAGGAATTTTATAAGGATTAAGTAAATGAGTGTGTAGAGACATTTAGACTAGTGAGTGACTAGCAAACAATAAACATGTAACCCTGTTGAAGACAGAAAAAGTAGGAAGACAGTGCTAGAAAAGGGGGAAGCTATATGACATACTTAGCTGTGTTCATCTTTATAAATACATCTAGTTACAGATAAAAATTTTTAGCTCATCGGTGTTCAAGATATTTTAAACAAATTTCCTTAATTGCTCTTATAATCACTTTAGAAAAGGTAACAATCTGTAAAGTTTATTATCTAAGTTTAATAGAAAATTAAAGCACAGAAAAGAAAAAGAGATATCCTACAGTGATAAAATAAAATGATAAGGTGAAAATAAACTCAAAAGAAAGCTTTCTATATACAGAGCCCTCTCAGCTATATCACATGACCAACATTAAGATTTTCTTAGAGCCACACATGGTGGTACACAGCTATAATCCCAGCAAGTTATTGAGGCAGGATGATTGTGAGTTTGAGGCCAGCCTGGACTACATAATGAGATCCTGACTCAAAAAAAAAAAATTAAGATTGCCTTGGAAAACTTCACATGGTGATGGACACAGCTTAATCCCAGCACTCAGAAGGCAGAGGCAGGATGATCCCAAGTTCTAGGTTAGGCTGGGCTACACAAGACCCTGTCTCAAAAAAAAAAAAAAAAAATTGCCTGCTGGTAGAGCGGCTCAAGTGGTAAGACAGCCAGAGCACTTGCTTAGCAAGCATGAGGCCCTAAATTCAATCCCCAGTGCTGCCAAAACATACATACACACACACACACACACACACAAAGGGCTGGTGGAGTGACTCAAGTGGTAGAGTGCCTGCCTGGCAAGTGTGAGGCCCTGAGTTCAAACCTCAGTACTACAAAAAAACAAAAACAAAAAAACTTCCATGGCTGGGGGCACATACAGTTCAGTGGTAAAAGCATATGCTTAGCATGTGCCAGGCCCTGGGTTCAATTCCCAGCAGAAAGGGGAGGGAAGGGGAGAGAAGGGGAGAAGAAGAAGAGATTGCCTTTAAGCGCATAGAAACTAAATCAATTCAATAATTATCTTCATTGAAGAAAAGAAAAACAATCATAACCTTTCATGTCTCACAGAATAGAAGTCTGTTCAAAACTTAAATAAGAGACACATTACTGCAAAAAAGCAATTTAGGTGGTTCCTACTGAATCTTCAAATGCTAAACTTATGTTGTGCCAGGTATGGACTGCAGACCATCAAAAAATGAAAAAAGGAAAGAAAGAGCAACTTACCTGGTGCTGTACAATGACGATTTTGCGTAAAAAATGCTTTATAACCAGACAATCTGTCACCAATGTTCTAGATTTTTCATCAAACTGTAACAACACAGCAAAAATACTCACCAAACGCACACAAACCCAAGAGCACAAATGAGTCAAATAAGTATTTCTTCCAATAGAAGTCACTACACCTTAGAATGCTTTTTTTTTTTTCAGTACTAGGGTTTGAACTCAGGGCCACATGCTTGCTAGGCAGGCACTCTACAATTTCAGTCACTCAGCCAGCTCTGTTTTATGTTAAACATTTTCAAGATAGGGTCTTATAAACTGTTTGCCTAGGCTGGCTTCCAATCATGACTCTCCTGGTCTCTGCTTCCCAAGTAGCTAAGATTACAGACGTGAGCCACCAGCGCCCAGCTTCAAATGCTTTTTGGACATCCAAAGATAAACACCTTTGAGAATCGGAAATGTACACAAAAGGGAATCTAAATCGCCATCACTTCTTGGGTTAGAGTGCCTATTTTATGGAACTTCAAGAGATATGTGAACAAAGATCAGTCTGAAACTACACCTGAAAACCACCTTTTGAAACAAATTTAAAAGTAATTCAGGCATGAGTTGCCAGGCAGTGGTTTGACCTGTAATTCTAGTTACATGGGAGGCTGAGTTAGGGAGGATCTCAGAAACCAGTCTGGGCAAATAGTTCTCAAGAATCCATCTCCAGCTACTTAAAAAGCTAAACATTGATCTACCATTTGATCCAGCAATACCACTCTTGGGGATATACCCAAAAGACTGTGACACAGGTTACTCCAGAGGCACCTGCACACCCATGTTTTATTGTGGCACTATTCACAATAGCCAAGTTATGGAAACAGCCAAGATGCCCCACCACTGACGAATGGATTAAGAAAATATGGTATCTATACACAATGGAATTTTATGCAGCCATGAAGAAGAACGAAATGTTATCATTCGCTGGTAAATGGATGGAATTGGAGAACATCATTCTGAATGAGGTTAGCCTGGCCCAAAATACCAAAAATCATATGTTCTCCCTCATATGTGGACATTAGATCAAGGGCAAACACAACAAGGGGATTGGACTTTGAGCACATGATAAAAGCTAGTGCACACAAGGGAGATATGAGGATAGGTAAGACACCTAAAAAATTAGCTAGCATTTATTGCCCTTAACGCAGAGAAACTATAGCAGATACCTTAAAAGCAACTGAGGGCAATAGGAAAAGGGGACCAGGAACTAGAGAAAAGGTTAGATCAAGAAGAATTAACCTAGAAGGTAACACACATGCACAGGAAATTAATGTGAGTCAACTCCCTGTATAGCTATCCTTATCTCAACTAGCAAAAACCCTTGTTCCTTCCTATTATTGCTTATACTCTCTCTACAACAAAATTAGACATAAGGGCAAAATAGTTTCTGCTGGGTATTGAGGGGGTGGGGGGGAGAGGGAGGGGGCGGAGTGGGTGGTAAGGGAGGGGGTGGGGGCAGGGGGGGGAGAAATGACCCAAGCCTTGTATGCACATACGAATAAAATAAAATTAAAAAAAAGAATCCATCTCCAAAATAACCAGAGCAAAATGGACTGGAGGTGTGGCTCAAGAAGCAGAGTGCCTGTTCTGCAAGCACAAAGCACTGAGTTCAAACCCCAGTCCCTCCCCCCACCATACACAAAAAAAGTAATTCAGACTGTTACTGAGAAAGTACTTCTATCTTTACTATTCAAATGTGCTTTAGTGCAATCTGTATTAAGAATCTGAGGGGGGAAAAAAAGAATCTGAGGGGAGTCAAAGGAGAAGGCAATAAAAGAAACCCATTTTTGAACATTAATCCATTCATCCAAACATTTATCTATAAGGAAAGCTATACAGCAAAAAGCTAAAAAGTTAGAAAACCTGTGTTCTAGTACTGCTCTGTAAAAATTACTTAAGTCATTATGGAAAAAAGTTACCTCACTGCTCCGAACCTCATTTCCTAATTTACAAAACAAGGATAAAACCTAAATGGAGACACTTACTACCTAAGTAATGAGTGGCAAACAAGAAACACTTCACCCTGCTGAAGATACAAAAAGTGGGAACACAGAACAAAAAAGGAGAAGTTATATGGAATATTTAACATTTCGTATTTATAAACATACCTAACTACAGGTATGTTTACCTTATCTACCTAACAGAATATGGTTTTAAGGATCCTTATATCTAAAAGCGTATGTTATACATGGTAACAAAACAGATACCACATGTTGAATGCCTGCTTTGTGACAAGTATTGTTTAGGTTCTGTATATACATTACCTCATAACAATACTGTGAGGTACCTATTACTATCCCCATTTGTAAAGTTGTTTTCAAAAGGCTCAGGGATTTTAGGCAGCTTGTTTATGGCAACTCAGCTCTTCAATGATAGAGACAGTTACCATTTAACGGTGGCTATCTCTATTCCAGGAATGGTGCTAACCTTCACATAGACTCTATTAGGAATATATAACCCACATTTTATAAATGAAAAAGAAAAGCTTCAAAAGAGGTTCAACAACTTGCCCACAATCAGCCAGGTCAGTCTGGATCCAAACCTTCAGTATTAATGACTTTCCTGTATTAACTCATTATATTCAAGATAGTATCCCTAAAACCAAAGTTAGAAACAGTCTCCTAGAAAATGGAGAACTCTAGGAAAATGGAAATATAGTCAGAAATCAGTAAGTTCTTATTAGTGGCTCAGAAAATACAGAACCCCTAAGAATAATCTAGGTATATTTCTTAAAGCGTCTCGGACCTCAGAATCTCATAACACAATAAGGAGTATGTAAATATCTAATAAAAAAATAAATTATTACAGTATTTTTATAAATCCACTGAAAAAGAGGTTAAGAACTATGCAATAGGTGGGGATTATTAGAAAATTCTAGAAACAAGTCTAGGATTATTCATGATTACAAATAGTGCTAATTAAGTAGTAATTGTAATACACATATAGTCACATCCTTCTTTAAAATTTTTTTTAATATAGAATGTTTACTATTTTTGAAAGTTTTAGCAAGTATTTATTTTATTATAACAAAATAAAGTAGGGAGAAGTGGGGAAAAAAGGGAGAAACATTTCCTGTTCCCCACACAGGAAATGGAAATAAAGCCTCCTACAACGTTTAAACGTAGAAAAGCAATGGTATCTTAAAATAATTTTCTATATTTTATACTTCCAAAACAACATGGAACAGTTTCAAGTCTCAGTAACCTTGGTGATTATAGGGTGTATCATAGAGAGGTCTAATTATATTTAACAGTAAGGCAACGAAATAAGTGTTCAAGTCCCTATGAGAAAGGGGCTTTAGTTAATACCAGTGTCAGCTAGACCTTTCACTGAACACTCGGCTACATACCAAGTAGTTTATTGGTGAGCAAGAAATATTCCTATTTTATACAAGATTATGAGACTCCATGCACTAATTAATTTGTCCATGTCACACACAGCTTGTTAAGTGGCAGCAGTGGGATTCAAACCTAGATATGACTAACTCGGAAGTCCACACTCCACTATGTGTTGCTGCCTCTCCAAGGACATTCATTTTCTGCACATACAGCTAGTTATCTAAATGGGGTAATATATAATCTATTGTGTGTTCTTGTTATTATTATTTTTTTTTGCAGGAACTGGGGGTTGAACCCAGGGCCTTGTACATGCTAAGTAAGTGCTCTACCACTTGTGTCATTCCCCCAAACCTTTTGTTTGTATTTTGTTTTGGGGATAAGGTCATGCTGGACTTGAACTCAAGACCCTCCTGTCTGTACCTATCAAAGTAGCTGGGATTACTCAGCAATCCATCATTATTTTTATGGAGACTGACAAGTAGTACTTACATATGATTATTCAATATATGCATTCATTCATAAAACATTAATGTAGCTTAATTGTGTGTATCTGGGCCTACATAGATAAGACAATCTATGAATTAGAAGAAGGTTCACAATTTCAGTAGAAGAGAAAGACAATTCATATGGCAATGTGAAAACTTTTATAATTTAGATATATAAGAGTCTAAAGGAACACAAAAGAAGACTGGGATCTAACTCAGACCTAGGATCAACTAACCTAATGTCAGGTCAGCAGACAAGAATTAACACAAAGTAAATAGCTCTTTTAAGATCTATTCATAGAATTGACAGTGAAAGCAGCTAGAGGCATGGCTCAAGAGGTAAGTGCAAGAAGGTCCTGAGTTTAAACCCCAATACCACCTAAATAAATAATACAGCATTAAAAAAAGAATTGCTGAGAGAGAGAGAGAGAGAGAGAGAGAGAGAGAGAGAATGAATAAATGCTTTTTACAGCTATATGTTAGAAACTCAAAACCCAATACCCCAGCCTGGCACACCAACAGAATCAATGAACTTACGTAGGTGCTATTATGAAAAAATAAATGTTGGCAGCCCCAGGCAGCAGAAACTACTAATGAGTCATATGGTTTTAGCCTTTTTATCTTTAAAGATAAGTCTGATTATATGCTAGAAATTTATTTTCAGATATGAACTGATGTAGTCATGGGCTCTATACTACTTTCCAGAATAAAGTTTCAGCCTTTTTTTTCTCCCCTCCCTCCTAAACAGATCGATACATATATCACATACATACAGAGGTATAAATGTATAGATATAGTTATGCATGTGTATGTTTATATACATATATACACATCCATTTTACCACTTAGTTATTATTAAAAATAAATATAAAATTGGATAAAGCTGTTAAGAAGATCTTAAAAAATCAGGTTGCTTTTGGAGAGACATGTTACCCATCTAAAGAGTCCTTTGATTACACTGAACAAAAGCACAAAACCCAGCATCTCTCCAAAATGAGGCTTTTCTTAGTCTTCCTTGGGATTAATTTCCTCACATGGCCAAGACAGTGGATCATTTACTATAGCTTTTTCAGGGATGTCTCCATTAAATAGTCTTTGTTATGAATCTTGCTACTTGACCCTTCTCCCAACTGATGATTTTTGCAATCTCCCCTTTTTCTCTTCTCATTTTCTTTATTCAAAATATCTTTTAAAGGGTTCATATGGTAGTATATGCCTA